ATTTTAAACATTTGCTGCATGTGTATATACAGAATGTATATGATTGTTAAAAGTGCACAATGCCATAATGCTTCAATTAAGCCAAAATCTAATTTGTAAATTACATTCAATGGTTTGTGGTTACTTCTCCTTTTGTCATGCTGTGAAAATAAACCTGAATACCCGCAGACTTGGAGCTGGTGTGTTAGCATTAGCGAGCTAAGGGCTTTCTCTCTGATTAGCCTCCTCCACTGACTGACATGTCCCACTGGCTGCCTAACAGCCGGCTTTAGGAGATGAGGTTAAATTGTGGCTACCAACAAATTGCATGCTTGAGTTGCTGTGCACCCCTCTGTTATCATCCAATGTAATGTGAGCACACCAGGCAGATCCGTGTCCCCCTCCCCGCTCTACTGCCCCTCCCAATACAAGCCTCCACTCCACCATTCTGCTCCTGAAGTGGTGAGGGGCATTAGCGCGCCTGCGCCTCTGTGACTCCCCAGAGCGCCCGGTGAACTGCTTTGTCGTCCAAGTGCTGCTGTACACATCCTCGTGAGTGTGTGATTAGGCCCACCCATTGCCTCTACGCCCACGCACTCCTATTCAAACACACAGCGGAAATGCCTTCACAAAAGTCAACTCGCACCAGATCACCTGATTTAATATTTCTACCTCTACAAAAAATAATCTGTGAAAGCCACCTGGCAGCATAAACAGAATCAGAGCTAGTTTTGTATCATACATGGATCATACACATTTAATGCTTTTTAAAACTATGGATAAAGAAAATATTTATTTAACAAAGAGAAAATTTTATGATAATGCGGTACAGCTTTAAACATGCTAATAGTTTTCTCCCAGTGGTGCTAAACACACTGGTAAGAGTTAGCAGTGTTGGAGATGACAGATGATGCATCGCCGTGTTCTTTTGGGACAGGCCGGGCCATGTTGACATAGAACCCAATACTTCCTTACAGAGGAGCGGGCCAGCTTCAGCTCGCTCCTCGCCAAGCACTCCAAATCCCAGCAAGCTGAAGCAATATTATCCAGCTTAGGCTTTCTAACATTAGATTTGTTTCACCATTGAGATTCTCTTTTATTTATGCAAGTGAAGTGGTAAAAATACATATTTTTACCCTTTTAGGAAGAAAATAACAGCAAACTTATAGATACAGTTAGTTCATAGAATGGGGAATGTTTTCATGTAGACTTTAATTAACCAAAAACCATGCTTAAGCACTGCCAGTGTAAAGCTGTAGTTTTTTCCTGTTTTGATTTGTGAGTGCATTCACAAAGCACTATAGGCCGCAGGGGAGTGCCCTACTATAGTGAGCAAAACACGCGCACGGGTTAGCCTGCACAGAAAACTAGTCGTCAGCATCTAGGATCTTGCACAGGGCGTCCCAAACACAGGTAATTAAAAAACAACAATTTCACAGGAGGGCACTGCACACTGTTCTAAAAAGCAGCACTCAGCACACAGGGGGGATGTCCACCGTGCACAAGAAGTGAAAGGCATTCTGGGGGTTGTATTTTTATGGTTGCTTTGTTGTTTTTCTACTATTCATACTACTGTGACCTCAATAGAATCTTGCTTACACCACTAAAAAATGGACAACATTATGAATGATGGGTATCTTACAATGCCTTTTGCGTCTCCATAATAAACTCTCTCCCATGAATACATTTGATAAAGATTTTAAATATTTGCACAGTAAGTGGACTTGTGGCATAATTTGCTTAAACACCTTTTAGTACAACTTTCAGGAAAAAAAATTCAAGTTGAATGCTTAACCCCATTGTTTCAATTTTACCAGGCTTGGGAGTGGCACAAAGAGTAAACTAGCCTAAGCTGGGAGAGCAGTGTAACTCTATAGTCTAAAAGGGCATTATACGGGATCATAAAACTTTATAGATGGAGAAAAACACACACACAGAGAACCCAAAATATACTGAGAAGTGCTGTTACTGTACTATATGGGGCCTATATGGCAGTTTCTAACAAGGCTGTTGATTACAGGGGCGTCGTCCAACACTTTGGTCAAGTGATAGCCCTATTATATGGCTCCTTTCAAGGCATCTGCAGGGTCAGTGAAAGACTCCCTCTGGGGGAAAGATCGCCCTGTTTCTAATGAGCTATAATTGACCCCAAACACCAGGGCAGGACACACTGTGGAGGTGCTGCTGTAATTCCACTCTTCATGTACACAGCCTGTCTGCTCAAGCATGTCCCGTCAGAACAGATACGGATCACAAGTTACTCACAAATCAGGGTATCGAGATGAACAATTATTTTGATCTCTAAATATGCCAAAGAAATTCAGTATGATTTTATAATTAATATTTCATTTATTATATTATAATAATTTAAGATTATAGTTAAAAAAATATTCTATATTGTATTTTGCATTTTCTGTGCTATTTTAATTTTAGGTACAGTTTAGAATAGCTATTCACAATAAATTACAGGTTATTTGCAAATTAACACAAATATTTTTACTATTTAATTTACATACAATAACTATGTCATTCTATATACTATAAAGTGCTCAATATTGTTGCATTGCTTGAAAATATACCTTACTAATTTGCAAATGATCAAAAATGTGGCATTTAAATACAATGTTTTTTTTTTTTCCTTTTTTTTTTTACACGGACACAAGTGAAAAAAAAAAAAAAAAACAAAAAAAAACACATATTTTTTCTTTCTGTCCTTATAGTAAATAGGCCTAATAAAAGCATAAAAAGGCAATTTCTATGTATTAAAACTGACTGAATACTGAATATTTGGGAAAATTACTTTTCCCAAATATTCTAATTTTGTAGTGCTGTCCTGATAAGCTGTGATGATTAACAGTCAGCAGCAGATTGTTCTATAAAAAGGTGCAAACAGTGGATAAATGCTAATAAAAGCCCATCATGTTACACCAAACACAATATGGATCTGGGTGCTGCTTAACCAGTGGAGGCTTTAATAACGGTACACAACTGTTTTCCCCTGTCTGCACTTAGACCTGATCCAAAGGTGTGAGAAAATACGGCTTGCCAATTCCTTGATTTATTATAGCTAGTGAGCCCTGATTACAGAGAATGAATCAGTTGCTGTAGGAATGTAATTAGGCACACAGACGTCTGTAAGGCATAGAAGCTCTCCTCGCAGCTCTGAGCAGTTTGTGGGCTGACAAATGCATCTTAAATGGGTGTCATAAAAGTCAAAAAGGTGCCAATTACATCTTTAAGTATCTCATCCGTGTGAGTGAAATAAATAAAAATGGATAGTTGTGTGTTTGGGTGTAATGGACGGACCCTCCAGCTAGCTGTTAACTTAGGAGGGGAGGAGATGAAGAATTAAAGGATGGAATTAGTGGTTAAGTGGATAGCCTGACTGGTCCAACAAGGCAGTATGATTAACAATACCAAGCCAAACAGGAGGAGAAAAAGCTGGCACAGAGTCAAAATATGAGTACAAGTGGGAAATTAATTATTGACAATGAGAAAACTGTTTACAGACAGAAAATAAATAAGTTTGGAAGATTGTGGTGGAGCAGGCAGCAGAATGAGGGACTCTCATCTTTAGCTGCTTCTGAGCCGTGACGGCGTGACTCTGGTATCCCATAGTTACTGTGGTGAATTTTCCATTGTTAGCAGTGGACTACACTCCTATCACAAAGCCCAGTGAAAGGAACGCATGGCAATACATGTAACTCTTTGTTGTGAGCAAGGTGTCTGACAGACAGCCTTAATATCAGTAATCTAAAGAACATTGTTTAAAACCCCAATAGCTGAACATTTAGTAACAAGCATGAAAAAGGCATTCATGCAATAAGGTGCACTGGGAACCACCAGGGTATACTCAGGGCAAACACCATTCTCTTACAACTCATACACTGTATACCCTAAGTATCATTTGCCCCATTCAAATAACATAACAGCAATAATAATGACAATCTACAATAATGCTGGAAAGGGCATTCCGATATTCAAACATGGGCCTGATAGTTTTACTAACCTATTCATTGGAAATTATCGCATAGACACAAATCAGTAAAAACTATAACAGCAAAAACACATGTTTTAATTACTCACTTATAAAAAAAATAAAATAAAATTTTAAAAAAAGCTATCAAAATGTATTTCAAGTAAAGCACAGGTGCGCATAAATCAAGTGATCTAAATTGCGCATAAATCCGCATTGTTTTGATGTCGGCTACTTGTTCGAATAATGTTACTCCAATAAAACATTGTTTAGATAAAATTAATTAAATCATTTTGACAATAACAACATTATTACAGAATGCCAAAAAGACACACTATGATGGCAGTTTGTGAAAATGTATTCCCAGGATGCAACGGCAGAAATCCGAGCATTTTTATTATTATTATTATTCATATATTTTAGTTAAAATCTTATGGCTGGTTTGATTATTCACGAATTATAAATCTGAATTGTTTAGGAAGAAAATTCCAATTCCGAAATCTGAACACGCGCATCCTCGGCCTTCACACACTGTACAATAAAACAAGGGTCTACGAAAATAGTAGAGCATTTTCATTGTAATATATAATATTAGCCCACATCCAGGCTACAGCCCACAACATATATTTACAATCTTATGTGGTGTGATGCCACAATCTAGTACCGGTAACCTGTAAGCGCGCCCAAATACGCACACACGCGCTTCATATTATTTCTGCATCTTGTTAATTTCTGGCTATGAGGGACACTCATTACACGACCAGTCACTCACTGAAAGACTTAATAATAGACCTGATATTAATGCAGATACGGCTCAATCAAAGGCATGACTGAAATAGTAAGGTTCCACATTGCACATGGTATTTATAAATACATTTTTAAATAAACATAATTTATAAATACGGACATCGTCACTACAATTAAAGGAATATTTTCTTGCCTAACAGAGACTTCTGTAATGAAAAACACACGGAGAGGCCTAACAACAACCGTTTTGCACTGCACACACACTGCACAAGCATGCAAAGAAATGTATTGTGCTTACTGTTGGTAGTCATGTTTGCAGTAAAGTTTCCTTTCTCTGAAGTAACAGCTGGTGGTGAGGGGCTGTTGACACACGGTGCACTGCAAACACTCCTCGTGCCACGACGAATCGTTGACGCGCATCAAGAAGCGGTCAGAGATGGGCCGCTGGCATCCTTCACACACGGAGGGATGGTGACATTCAGAACCTGCTGAAAACCGTGCATGGGTTAAAACAAACCTTACAGCAGATACATACATACAGATATTCAGACCTTTGTATTTCAATTATCTAAAATAATTGCAACAATAAGATTCGGGTCTTACTGCTGTTTACAAACGTGAATAAATCCCCCCACACTAGAAAATGCCACACGCTGACTGTAGTGTACCAGGAAAATGTACCGTGTTTTTTTGTTTTTTTGGTTTTTTTTGTTTTTTTTTGTTTTTTTTTTATGACAACATTTTAATATTGACCTATATTTGGCGAGCGTTTAAATCACTCACCGAGCATGACTCCAAGTGTGGCTTGCCCCGATCGCAGCGGATGATCCTCAATTTTAATGCCGTCTAGCATGATGCACGTCACGGACAGATCCTCCGTGGAGAGGCGCTCCGGTGACACGAGACCTGTTGCAACGTCCATACAAATACAGTCAGACACAAAATAAAGAGAAGTTTCCACTTTTATGTAGAAAAGCTGTAAGACAACGAGCTGCTAACAGACTGGAAACCTGTTGAAAGCGTATAGTTCCGTGGTTACGGTCTGTAGTACAAAGAAGGGGGAAAAACTCTAAACTGTAACTCTAAAGAAAGGCGTCCTTTGAAGAGTTTAATGCAGGCTATGATCCTTGTAGTGGCAGTGTCAGTGAATCAAAGAAACAAACAACACACGTGGAAAACTATTTCAACAGTCACCTGTTATTCTTGGGGCTAAGGAAGTTTTATCAGTTTCGTCTTCAAGCCGTACGAGGAGAGCGGGGAGAATCTGGAGGAGGAATCTTTTTCACCGATTCAAAAAGTAATAAGAAGACAAAGTATACAATTCCAAAGTTAGGAGAGCAAAGATGTCCCGTCAGTAACTCTGGTTGAAGTGCCGAGACGGTTTGCTATGCCCTGTCGCTGCCAAAGTCTCAGCCCGAGAATGGAGCGGTGGATCCTCCCACTTCTGCATGCATGGGTAGACTTCTGTCAGTCCCCCATGGCCATTGGGATGCTGTTGGAGCACGGTGCGTGCGCTTTACGCAGGCCAATAACCACATACAACAGTCAATCAAACTGCAATAATAATAATAATAATAATAATAATAATAATAATAATAATAATAATAATAATAATAATAATAGTTGACATAAACGACTCATTTATCAACTATATCTTTTTCAAATCTGCCTTTGAAGGCAGGCCGTGCGTTTAGTTTCATTGCTCTTTTGTGTATTGTGTAAGGCGGCTGCTGTGGCCCTCAGATGATGCACCTGGCGATGAGAGCTGATAACAGGTTTGTAGGAAGCTGCAGGAAGCAAAAAGATGGACACCGGACCGTGCCAGTGCGCCTTTACGCACGAATAATACACCGCTACACTGGTGCATTATTTTTCTTTAGTTTATAACGTGACGTCACGACCATTTACCGAGTAGCTTAGGTTTATAGGCTCCTTTCATTATGTTGCCTTTACCCACACCTGCAACACAGTAAACACCATTCTGAAAATAACTACGTGACATGTTTGAATGAAAGGTATCAGTCTAATTCATTCAACATTTTCACGCGGCAATTTTTAAGAGTAAGTTCGAAGTGTGAAAGATAAACGCTATTTGTTTATGTGCCTGGAATTATTATGAAGGCCTGTATGAAATGACAAGCTGCTAATGGGCCTGCCCGGTGCGTCATGGCACGGTGATTGTTATCAAGGCCCTAACATAAGCAGTGGGGGAGAAGATAAAAGCCCTACATACCGTTGGCCTACAGCATAAGTCCGATATTATTAAAAAAAAAAAAAATGAAGGCCTGGTCCAACGTAAATACTACCACTGATAATAACAGGATAATAATTTATATTTCATACAGAAATATTACAGTACATCTGAGAACTCTACAGCATGGTTTCATAATAAAAAAAATACGTATATTATTATTATAAAATATTTTAGTACATTTGAGAAGTCTGAACCCTGATTCTTTTATTTTAATTTAGTCAAATAATAAATAATTACTGAGACTATAACTGAGACTATTATAGACTACTATTAATTCAGCACGTCACATCAAAATCCTTCTAGTGTAAATATACGTGTGATAAACTATAACATTGCATTTATAAACAGACCATATAAAAGGAAATATTAAATACTATTATTTTTTCTTCCCAACACATTTCGCAGGCGGCAGGCCATGCTCAGCGCTGGTATTTGCGGTGCCTGAGTGGCAGTGAGGCTGTGACCTGTAGCCCACTTTGCAAAACAGAAACTAGATTGTTGCTGATGCCCTCTACTGGTCACGGTAGTAAAAAATAAATGTTACAAAAGCACGACTGCATGACTGAAGGAACATAAAAGACTGACAAGAAGAGATGTGAAGTATTCATAATGAAAACATACTAAAAGACACTTGGATAATATGACCAAACTTGCCACACATATTACTCATTTAGCTCAGTTCTCTTTTTCATCTGCTTCTATCAGCAGGGGTCAATTACCTCCAGCGCGCACTATATTGGATTATCTTGCCACTAAGCAGCATTATTAGCCCGGGACTATCAATATACAATATAGACTAATCAATACATTCAAGAACACATAAAGCCGGCTGTAGTCCCAGTGTTACGGCCACCCCCTGCCATTCATTCAGCGGGTTATCAGGCGGGTCACTTGTGCGGATGAGGACATCAAACATTCATTCAATAAATCAATCTACCAACTTTAGCCTGCAGTGTTTTAATGAGCCCCTACACGACAGACAGCCCTCCCTCCTCGACTTTAACTGCAGCAGGTGTGCACAAGGAGGCTATGAGCAAAGCTATGTCTTCCTAAGTTAAACATTTCTGCTAGTTTCATCATAAGAATCCAGCGGTAAGGTAAGACCACAAAACGCACACACGCGGCGTTTACGCACCGTATATTCCCTGTCCAATATAGTTAGGTTTTCTGAATCAAGCATTGTTGTTCTAGATGAAAAGTTGAAGAATTCGAACGGAAGAGTTTTCTAAAGAATTATTTTAAGTGGAGTTAGGCAACCATTGCGCAAGTCCAAGTGTGGCTAAGCGGATCAATCCATGATGATGGATTCCTCTGTATAGAGACTTTTAAAACACATATTCTGGCTATGATTATTATTATCATCTTTAAATCATGTCCAAAACAATGCATATGCTGTTGTAGTAGTTAGTAGTTAGGACGTAAATGTTATTCACGCCAATAGGTTTGTGATTGCATTCTCACAGGGTATTTTAAAAGCCGTTATTTTCCCTTCATGGACAATGAGTCAATAAGACTGTCCAACCCCTGTCAATCCCAAGACTCCAATCAATGCACCAATATTACACAAAATGATCGTGAGTAAGTCCCCGTCATTATTTATTAAATTACATGTGGACAGTAGCAGAGCTTTGTCTCTGTCAGTGGATATATAGTCTTATAATAGCCCTGGAGATTTCCTTAATTTGAAATACGAGCACAGTTAATTATAGGCCTAAAACAAAGTTTAGCGACGGTCATTAGAGAATAAAATACCTTAACTAAAGCCTGACATCCTCAAAGGGGCGCTCATAGGCCGAAGACATAATAGCTCCCTAAATTGCAGGGAGCGAAGACTTTGATACTTAACTCACTTTGATCTTTTTTAACGACTCTTTCTTGCGCACCATGATGCTTCTTTAAGAGCCCAAATAAACACGGGCGCACGCTTATTTGGACCAAACACAGTGTATGTGAGTTATGTGAAAGACTGCTTCAGTATTTGACAGTTTTTAGCGCGTGTCGCCGCGGTTTGCCGAGGACTCGCTTTAGGCCGCGTGGAAAGATCTGTCCTCTGCGTCGTGACAACGGACTCGCTGACCTGCGACCACTCGCCAAGGGTTTGCTCGTCGGCATTTTGGAACAGAGTAGGTTAAATTTAATATCTTTTGTAAAGCGTTACTTCTGTTATTTCTGTGCTAGTGGTTAGTTTTAAAAGGCCAAGGTTGGGTGTAACAAAATAAATGACGAAAAGTTTAAAAAAAAAAAAAAGAAAAAGAAAGAAAGAAAGAAAGAAATAGCCTAGGTAAGGTGTGATAGATCCTATAGAAATTCGGATATTTTAAATGTTTAAATTGATGTAGTAGGCTAATAATCGATATCCTACAGACTTATATAGGCCTACAGTAGGCCTATCTTCTGTTTCAGTCAGCGCATAACATTTGTGCTTTTATTCCTCTCAACCACTTGGCCCCTCTTATCTTCCTGAGACAGCCAAAAAATGATACTGCGGGATAATCCTAACTCCCAGAGGGTTAAGACAAAGTACAATACAGCACTGTCAACCTCTGGCCAGATTTGTTTACGTTATGATTTATTGGATTCGCTTTTTTCGCTCTGACAAATTTATTGAGTTCCTGACAGATGGCCTGACAGGCCCCAGTCTGACAGTTAGCTGACATACTAGTTTGAGATGTGGCTCTGAAAATCGTTAAGGTCTTTTTCTGCACTTTTCTGCTTCATCTGTAAAAATTAACATGCGGCAGTATTCACAAAATCAGATGCGTTTTAAGAACTTTAAGAGTAACGCTCTTCTGTGCGTAATTTGGCTATAACGTCCACATCATAATGTACGAATGTGTCAATTAAAAATACAATTAACCTAAAGTAATACATCATTCTTATTTGAACTGCAACCCTTTTAGAAAACAGTTTACTAAAGGCTATGCTATGTAGGCTAAAGTCAAAGTAGGCCTAGGGAGTTTGGATGGCCTACTGTGTGTGCAGTAATATTTGGTAATGTGGCAGTTCGTCTAGGCCTATAGAACAAACACAATTAGACCTAATCAAAAGTGTGATATTAGAGGTTTCAGAAGTTAAGTCCAAAGCTACATCGATGCAAGAACATGAATGAAGCTTATAAACATACAATGTCATTGTCGATTAAGAAAATACACTTTAGAAACTCACAGTGCTTCTGCGCCACCATTGCGTTTTACTTCCACAAGTCATTTAAGCGGGAGGAAGGCACTCAAGTGTCTTGTAGCGGGACCCCCTGAGAAATCATTAAAACTACAATACCGCCCCCTGCTGGTAGAATTACGGTATTACAAGGTACCAGTGCATTCAATACCTGGAGAAAATACTTAGACCGTATTATTGTATATATTGAATATTTCAAGGGAAAAAATGCTTACATTTAAAATATTTCTGCACATATTTTCTAACGGCTAGTATATGAATACACTGGAATTAGTGTTCAAAGGTAAATTTGCTTCACTTTTTTATACATAAAGAAAACTGAAGTATTTGTACATAAAGACATTGTAGTGCAACGTAGAGCACAGTTGTACTATGTTGGGGACAGTCCATGTCCAAGGAATTACAGTATGAAGTATGAATAATGCAATAAGTTATTCCTCTGGATATATTTTTACTGTTACAAAAGATGAACTTTTTTTAGAAGTAATTTAAATTGTAATGCAGATGGCAGAGGATGCATTTAACTAGTAACACTAAATCCTTCTCCTCTTTGATGTGGGGACGGCCTTCATCTGTTTGACTTCACAAATGAGCTACAGCCAAATACGCCTATGACACATCTCTGCTCGAGACACTATAATGGGGATTTCTCTAAAATAAAGTGGTGTGTGAAAATCTTCAACATGGCTGCATTAAACTGCATCCAAACTGTAGTGAACAAAAACACAGGGTAAATGTATTTAATAAGATTAATACGATATTTTGGAGAGGATGGGTACTGGAACAAAATAACTCACCTATTCACAATCGTTTTGTATCGGAAAAGTATAAATAATAATAATCATTGTTTTATATATGTTCCCCATTTATCAAAAACATATTCTTTCCCACAGGCCTTCAACTACAATATAATGACTTAAAAAATAATTTGACTCAAGAGAAGACTCAAATTAATTTACCTTTTTAACTTTTTAAAAATTTATTTGCGTATGTTGAACAAGATCATTACACATTGCCATCCTCAGAAAGACTCACATTTATATAGTGTTTGTTATTAAATCTTAAAAAAAAAAAAAAAAAAAAAACTTAAAAAAAAAAAGAAAAAGTTTATGTTTAAGGCTAAGCAATTTAAAAGTGCTCATGCACTCAAAAACAAAACAAAACAAAATAAATAAATAAATAAATAAAACAAAGATTTTTTTTCTTCTTCTGAAACCTTAAAAAAAACAATATGGCTTATACCATTTTCATTCAACCAGGAATACTTTTACCTGATATTGTTCCAGTTCTGTTTTTAACATTACAAAACTATGACACTTGTGGTAAGATTTGCAGCACCTTTCACTAAATGATCTTGTTATTCAGTGGATTTGTCTCAACAAAAAAAGCAAAGCGATGTAAGGCCTGAGCACGGCTTCAGGGTATGTGCCATTACCAAAAAGCGCCCAGGCCTCAAACGCTCCTCATACAGAAGGCATAAATTAAGTGTCTGTTGAATAAATTGCGTGTGCTAGACAAACTTTGTGGTGAAGTTTTTTCAAAGTAGTGAAAGACATTCTAAGTACATCTGCTGGCTAATACAAGGACTAATCATTAAGGTTATAGAGCAGCTAGTAATAGTAGTTAATATGAGAGGAAAAGTTCATTATGGGTATCACTATAATGGTAATTAAAGATAAACGAAAAATTATGACTTTTTGATTTGAGAATGTAAAGAAAATTTAATTTGGTTTGCATTAATAATAAGGTGCAAGTAATTAAAATATTTGGAGTAAAATGCAATATGATCATTTTATCTCATGTTTTGTTTTATTTATGATTAATTACAATTGTCATTGTTCTGAAAAAAATATGATTCTTACTGCACTGCATTCAGTGGTAACACATTCCATTCCATAGGTCTACTAAATGTATATGTGTTGTCACTAAACACAAGAGCGAATATACTGATCTACACTAACATCAAGAATTGTGTGACTTAATATTTGTTGGTCAATTGAAATTCAATTGAAATTTCAATGCATCATGCTTTGATTCAGTTTTATTAAAAATCACGATAATTATGAGTATTATTAAAAGCAGTGTACTCAAAATGCACATGTTGCTATAATATGCATTACAGTTTGATTTGACTATGAGGAAAACCTTTTTCATGATATTGACATTCCAGAGGATCGCCCAGTAAGATATGTACAGTTTAGCTGTGCTGCAATCATATTTTTGGGGAATTTGAAAAGACGAATCTGCGCGTGTTATAAATGTCCAGTGGTGAGTGTGTCATTAATAGGCCGGACTTCAGAGAAAAGGTAAAATCCTGGTCCAGATGTTGTGCAGCTGGGTGGATCTGGTGCTGAGGATCTCCACAGCCTCTGTCACAGCACAGCCTTTCTAATCTGTCCTGAACATTAGGCAGAGAGCACTAAAAACCCATCATGGCCCGCTTGCTCCACTCCACAGGATCCTTGTTTAACTGCAAAAACACACAGCAAAAACACAACTTAGTAACAGTGTAACAGCATGGAGGCCTGTTTAACCCCGGAGGGCTGCTATGAGGACAAAAAGCAGTGACTTATACTGAAACGCGACTCACAACTATAAGAGAAAAGGAGAAAGAAAAACAAAGCATGGGGCAGAGGTTATGAGGGCCACAGGGCCCAGGGCAAATGGGCCAGGCTTTGAACTCAGGTCCAGAGCAGCTCACAGAGGTCAAGGTGCTCTCACACAACTCAACTAAAATAATACACTTTAGAGACAGTTTAAATTATTATTTTTTTTATTAAAAGTGACCAGTAGAAGTATGTACACAATTTACTTAATTTATTTGTAATTACCGGGTCAATTTGTATAGGATAAATCTGACAAAAATCCAATATCTTTTATGTCAGCACAAATATATATACAAATACATATACAAAACTGTTTATAAAAGTGAAATTATTATTCTATAATAAAGACAGGATTGTTGTCATTTGAAAAGACTATATGTGCATCTAATCACTAGTAAATGATAATATGGTCCAGCATTTGTGGATTTTCAGTTTGAATATTTCTTTCAAAAAACAGCCTTCAGTATAAAATGAGGACATAAAATGGTGAACCCAGCTGTGTCTAAAAATATATGAAATAATACTTTGTTTTAAAATGAGCTTATCACCACATAAAAAAAGTTAATTAAGTAAATTTTCTTCTTATGCTGATAATCTGTGTCTTCAGAGAAACTTATTAGCAGTAAAAAAGTGGAAGTATATACTTACTTTTAAAGATTTCACTGTGTGCAAACCATATTAGCCTTACTATGGGCAAAGATAGGTCTCAGTGAATTCTCAACAAATGTGTTATGAAACTCTCTAGACTTTCTAGCCCGACCTTGATAATCTGGAGATAAGCCCCACCCTGGCCTGGGTTCAGTGGCCAGTGGCCAGTTGGCTGACCAGATGCCACATGAACTGACCCCGTCTTCCCTCAGAAATGTGGAAGTAAAGAAACAGCCATCCTCAGGGGAGCGCTCGGACTAACAAGAAAACTGCGGGCCCAAATCTCTCTGAAGTGCTGTGTTTTCCCACCGGACCACTTTCAGCTTCATAAACATCTTAACTAGCCAGAGGTCCCACAGGGGCTGCTGGGAAATCCTTTGGGCAGCCACCACTTGGGAGCTGGCCCTTTATTACATCCAGGTGGTGGTTAAAAATGCTGGCCAGCCATAAATGTCCAATAAAATGCAAGTGCCACCTTCGGGGGTGGACAGGGTCAGTGCACCTGTCTGCAGACCAAAGCCCAAAGCTCCGACTAGTTTCATATTCTGTGGTGCTAAGGCGGTGCCAGCATTTCAGCAGTTTCACCCAACAGAGACTGACCAGGCTGTTGTCCATACTAAATATGATATAATGCTGAGCTAAGCAAATAATGAGATGAATCTTTCCATCAAGTTAAGTCAAAACTGCAAATGAATTGCCATTACTATTGATTTTAATACAATTTTGTGTCAAATGCTTGGAGACATCACTCTAACAGGCTTAGCATCTGTAAGATAATAAAACTCGGGATTGTGGTGTCATACATTATGAACTTTTCAGTTAGCTTAATATTAAACCAATGTAGATTTTAAGATGCTGAATACTGAAGTATTCTGAGACTAAAGAGTGATAAATGTATTTAACAGTAGTGACGCAGCAGCTGATCAGGTTGTTCCTCAGGTCTTTTAAAAAAAATTTGACGTTGTTTTAGCCAAGGCATTGCTATCTCTCTACTTTTGTACAGTTGATACAAAAAAGGAGGATTTGTTTTTTGGTTGTGCAATCCTGAGCTCTATATATAATTTATATAATTCAATCATCATATCGTGCACCTGGTCAAGACCCTTGAGTGAGTGATAATGAGTATTAAAGCCCCAGTACATTTTTAGCCAAACATAGATTCAAATAAAAGAATTCATCCTGCTTGTTTCCATGGAAGTGTTGTTCCTTCAGCTGTACTCTTCCACAGTATGGCATAAAACATATCTATCTCCATGGAGAATATTCCAGAGTATGTTACATGCTGTACCTTTAAAAGGAGTGGAAAATAAATTCTTAATAATATATACATTGTGAAATATTTTTTCTTGATCAGTTAATCTTACAATTTTGTGAATTATTTGTTGACTTCTCAGACACCCTCAGAGAAGCGTAGCTGTCCTTCTGTGCCCTCAGTCCATCCTGTCCTGACCTGATCTCCAAGAGTCTGATTCCCAGGATGCCAAGTGGCAGCGACAGGGAATTACACCTTGGGAATGTCTAATTAACTGTGAACTATTATGAGTCAGTATACAAATCACTGGTCCCTCTCATTCAATGTGGTGCATCCTGAAGGGAAAAGCAGGAAGGAGAGAACAGTATCATAATTTACATTGAGCAGATATGTTCAGTGTCTGATTATCTGAAAATCTCCCCCCCAAAGTGTCGTTTAATTAGCTGCTGTTTGTTTATAGCCTGCTCTCATGTTAGTGACTGGGGCAGCAGCCTCTCGTCATCTGCCCTGCCTGCCCCATGTCCAGAAAGCTAATTGTCCCAAAGCAGGTAGTGGAGGGAGCTGGACACTGGTGTATTGGGCCTTTGATCTCACATGAAAGGAGTTAATTGATTTCTATGTTAGGGCCAGTCTTAAGGTGGGCCATAGGAGAAAGAAACATGCTTGCTAGTGGTTATTCAAAAACTTTGACCAAAATACCTGGGAGAGAAGAGAGAGAGATCAGCTCACACCCTGCTCCATCCTTACTCAATTATAATAATCCGACTCACATGGGTTGCTGTGGAGGAGAGGAGGAGATGCCTGCTCTGAGACATCACTCATTTTACCTTCACAGAGGTATGGGGCTACATGCATGTGGTGGTGGGGGCTAGTTAAAGTGCAGAAGACCACACTGCTCCTGGTTGGACAAAAACACACAAGCTGACGTCAGGCCAGGCAGAGGTGCATAGTGCAACCAGGATCATTAGTCATGGAGCAGTGGTTTGAAACAGAATAGTTAAAGCATGCCGTAGCTCTTGATTTATGGCAATAAAAGGAATACCATGTATCAAAATGTCTGACAAAAAACAAATTGTTGGGGTGCTTCTGTCGAGTGCTTACCACATAAACTGGAGTGACCCAAGTTCGAGTCCACGATCAGAGGAATTTTCTCCATGTTCTCTGTGTCATTCCCCATTTCTGTCGGTGTGTACATTTCTTAAAAAAAACCCAAAAAGTCAAAGTAAAAAAATAAATAAATTTTGCATAGGAACCATTGACCACTGTAGAGAGCACAAATGCAATGTTCTTGACTATTGGAAGTAACGAAATATAGCAAAAATACGTAAACAATTCAGATTCAAATTTGGTGGATTTCAGAATGCAGCTACTTTCCTAAAATGAAAGGAATACACTGTATACACTTGATCACACAATTTAGCCCAGCACAGTATTAGTGCAACAAAAAGAAAACTCTTGTATAGTGCATGCATTTGTGTGTTTTCCCTTCTCTAATTAGAAATAAATAAATGCAAAACAGGCAGCGTTAACATGAGGCTGTTTTAATCCTATGAATGTTTTTACACTGTAATATAATGCAACTCCATGTGAAAGTATTCAAAACACAGAACAATCTACTTAAACCATGTGACAGAATGTAAAACTACATTTTAATGCAGGTATTCTGTAATTTTGGAATTTAATAAGTTTTTGTCATTGTTGGTATGTAATAAAAATCTATAAAAATAGTTTTATTTGACAATAACTCCTATTTTACAAGAATAAAATATAATAAATACATGTAATTAATAAAATGTATGAATTTCTGTTAATTTCATGTATAGATGTATTATTTTAATACTGGAACACATTACTGATCCGTGTATGCTTAAGTAATGTTATTGTCATTTTATATACTATATTAGCCTGCTAATCAATAAGTTCTGCACTTTAACTTTTACTTGCATGTATGTTTCCATCTGTAATAGTTGAGGGGTATTGGCAGGCACTTTGTTCATGTTTCCTGTATCCTACCAACCATTAGCTGCAGTTAAATCTCCCTGGAAACAGGTCTGTGCATGTGATTTGCTGATCACCTGCGTGTTTGGGCCCAGGCCTGGCTCACCTCTGTGTGTCTGCTGCAGTGGGCTCAGGGGAAGTGGGCCTGTCAGAGGGAGAGTGGCAGGCTAAGGCCGTCTTAACACAGCCCCTCAAACCACCTCATAAATACTGGCTTCCTCTTCCAATTTCCAAGCAGTCCATCCAGCTCTGTCCACAGGCCTCCTCGCCGCTCCGTGTCATGTGCTGGGGTGTGAGTGTAAAAATGACCGCGGGACATCTGGTGCACTCTGGGAGGGTGGGGCTTTGATGTCTCACAGTTCAACCTTACTTAAGGAAGGCCAGGCCGTCCACAACACAGCACTGAGGTGCAGTAAGTGGCCCTGGGAGAGTAGAGGAGATAGTGAGGGAGTTGAAAAGATTCCTTAAAACATGTCGGCCATATGTCAAAGGCTTAAATACGCAGCAGACAGCGCCTAACCGATCCTTCAGCACTCAAGCAGCTCTGCAACGTTCTCCGAGCACATACGGAATGGGTCTATTCTGTGCTTTATCATCAAGGTTACTCCAAAAAGAGATACATTAAGGAAGGTAAAGGGGGCCTTCTTTGATAGTATAGTATAAGACATCACTAGAAAAAATAGGTGTATCATATCTGAACTTTTTCATGCCGTTTTATTTGCTGCCTCTTGGCTGGGACTAACCTTTTTTATTATTATCTCAATGAGATTCTCCTAGTTATGGTTAAATAGTGAATTTAAATAATGTATATTGTTATTTTAAACACCATTTTAATTAAATACCAAGACTTGTAATTCTATTATTTTTGTATAGGTGTAAGCATTTTGCTCATATTAGTTAAAACACAACACCTAATTTTAAACTCATGTAACATGAACACATTGTATTTTTGTACTGACACTGTTGTATTTATAAACATTTATAAAGAAAAAAATTAACCTGTATTAAATTGAAGATAATGGTACAGACCAAAACACAATTTTACGTAGTAATATATAATATAATAAAATATAATACAATATAATATCATATATAATAAAAAATTATATAAATGTATGAATGATCAACTTTTTCTGAGGCATTATTATTACAAACACAGGCATCACTACGTAGACAGTACACAGCAGGCCCATCACTTTACTGAAATGACTGTCACCTCCGTGTGAAACTGTTTAAAAACTTCCCTGGGCTCCAGCAGCAGGACCACGGCATGGATACAGGCTGCTGTCATGTGCCGTACGCCTCACTACGCACCTGTGAACAAATCACATATTACAAGTCAAATGTGCATTGTTAGCACTATGTCTGCACACTCAGTAGGATAAGGGGCTAATTAACCGTGAAGAAATTACAAGTTTGTCATAATTGTTATTAAAAGACTTGAGTAAACAGAGGTGTGAGCAGAAAGATTCTACTCAGTTGTAATTTAAATAAAACTATAATAAGGTATATTTATACAGAAATAGTGCACTATATATTTTAAACTATTCAACCCTATTTTGTTGAATTGTTTCTTATGACAATAATGTTGAATATAATCGTAATACGTTTTCTATGTCAGCTATACATTTTTAGGCATTTTCTGAAAACCCTAAAAATGCTCAACACAAATATACTGTGAAGCTTAAAAAAAAGTACAAAAAAATTATAATAAATAATGCACAAAAAACACGACTACCCAAAAATCTATAATCTATAATAAAAATAATTTATAAAGATAAAGGAATGCTTAATAGTACTGCCAGAAATGTATTTATTATTATTATTATTATTATTATTTTGAATGAACATATTTGCTTTTTTACATCTTTGAAATTAAACACAAATAAATAAATACATACTTCAGTTATAATTACACAAAAATACTATACATGTTAAAATATATATTTCCATTTGGTATTGCACAGCAGCACATAAATCTAGAGATCCATTTGTAATCCATGAATGTATCCTCTCTGGAATATAGATGCAGCTCAATGGACAACACTTCTCTCTGTGGTGAAGTTGTACTGAAACTGCAAAAGAAAAAAGAAAAATTAAGTTTAGCCAACAGTTTGAAACTTTTACAAAGCAAAAAACATTTTGTCCTTGGACTGCAAAATGAACGCAATTGCAAAGGATTGATCTGCTCAGGACATGGGCCTAGAGTGGCCTGGAGCAAAAATGTCATAAAAAACTAAAAAAACAAACTACAAAAAGCTAAACTTTAAATAAACACTGCCCTCTTGTGGCCTATCTCTGACAAGACCAATTAAAACGTGACGGTTCAAATCGGAACAGTACGAGTATGTTTTGTATTTTCCAAAAAATTTAGAGTTTTGTGTTTTAATTGTCACAGTAAGTATAATAATATTTTTATCCTTGCAAAGTAAAAGTATGCATGTCTAGGTTGATACCATTCTGTGAAAAATAAATTATTACTAATGATTCTATAATGAGAACATAGGTCTAATCATATTATCTTAAATACTGTAAAAGTACAAAGTGAGTAAAAAAGTACAAAATGTGTTACTGAAAATGACAAGCTCAGGAAACCCCTATCAAAAGAATGTAGTTGCATTTATTAAACATTGCACTAGGTGGGGCTATATGATCACAAAAATAAGTTTCCAACTCTTCAGCACAACTCAATGAGCCTCTACAACTACAGCACACTCTCTCTCTCAAAATACCACCTTGGCTGATTCTCATCTACTTGAGGAGCAAGTTACCAAAAACCTGTCACTTATCACAAAACCTGTTAGTTGTGTGAACATTTCAGCCCCCTACCACCACCACCACATAAAAAAACGGTCCCAACATCTGGTACCGTAAATAAATAATCTGGAGAGCGTGTACGTGCGTGTGTGTGTGTGTGCCGATGATGGATGGGGGAATGGGGTGTTATCAGGGAGAGCATGTATCAATGTCTGCCAGTTTTACACACAGGCTGACAGGGCACTGACACACCAGTACATGGGCGGCAGTCACCCAGACGAGCAGCGGCTTCCATTTCCCGTCCCTGCTCCACTGCCAAAAATATGTGACATGTTGTCTTCATTAATTCCACCTCTATTTGGAGCGCTCACACCTCTCCCTGTTGCCCTGTACACTACTGTCCTCTGCATATAGGGAAACACATACAGGCAGAAAGGAAGACTGCCACGAACAAGATATAAATACCTAAATAATGTCCTAATTAAAGCTGCACTATGTAACTTTTCTGGTGAACACCACGGAGATGTCATTATTTTCCTTGGAATCTTTCACAGTTTGGCATTACACTTGATCTATCGCCATGGAGACAAGCAGGTGACACCAGCAGGCCAAGTGTGTAAAGGCGACTCCACTCATTCATGTTTTTCAAGGTATTTTTGTACAATGAAAAGACCTGTAATTGAACAAATGCAAGAAAAACATTCAAACATTAATGGTATACACAGAGGCCCAAATGCCACTGCCTCTACACATAGGTATTAGATCCTTTACCAGAAAAGTTACATAGTGCACCTTTACTTGACTCATTTCAATGTTTATGTGCCAGATGCCATACTAGTGCTTTTCAGATTCTACAATGATGTGATGTGATGATCCCAGATGGATGGCAAGAGTCAGTTTTTCCTGTTGATTACATTGTAATTTACCATGAAATATCCAAAAATTAAATTCACAATGTTGAACCTGGAGATTTCTATGAGTGTCTCAACACAAGAACTCAGTTTATGGCAACAACAAACTGCCCCTCATCTGTATTAAATAAACCCACCGATGCAGTGAGGATGTACTCGAAAGATCATCGTCAACGAATAACAAAAGTGGCCCATTTTTGCACATCTAGGAAAATCAGACTCAAAACAACATACTCTGCAAAGTGTCAGTAAGTTCAACAGGGGAACAATACAAATAAACAAAAACTGAGAACACGTAAAAGTATTTAAGCTCCTATTTCAAGATCCAAAAAATGTTTAAGGACGATATTTATACTATACCACGTATATTTATACTATAAGAAACTTAATAAAGTAACTACTAGACTAGCAAGTAAAACTGAGCACATATAAGTGACATTATTGCAGATCTCACATACATATACTCTATTTAAAACTCTCAAACCATGATGTGTAACATCCTCCCCTTACAGGAAAACACAATGCACAAAGATACAACTCCTTGAAAAAGCAACAGTAGCGTCACCCATATATCACCCATAGGTGCTAATGAAAATCTTGTCATGTCTGCATACACACCATTCTCCAACCTCCTTTTCAAAATCATTAGCCAGATGCCAACAACATTTTTTCAGCAGCGCAAACTACATAAAGATGTCACTTTAAATCGCTTACTAATTAACACTTAAAAAGACACAAATTAGATATGCGTGGCTAAAAGCAATTATAATATCTGCAAGTTTTGTGAGTCATTTGGGAAATGAAAAGAATGCCTAATTGCTGGAACCAACATCATCCGAGACATGGCTTAAGTGATGCCTGTTAGAAAATGGTCTTATCTACAACTGTGATTATACACTTTTACTCAATTAAATGTGCATATGTGCTGTTCTGCAAACTACATCTGCTTTATGAATCTATATTTTAATGGGTTTGGGAAATAAGGCAATTATACAGACTGGGCTCAAAATGGCTTGGAGCTTTATAGAGGGATGAAACCTCTTTCTGTAAAAGAATAGACAGTGACCTCTTCTGGACAGTAAAAGAAGTCCGAACAGAAACAGCAGAAATGGTTTAAATTTCAGTTTTGCAAGTATTGCACTCCATTTAGCATTTTTGGGCAAATTACGGTAAGTAGTCCATGGAGTACTGTAATTACATGGAAACAGAAAATCAAGTAGTACTTTTTTTTTTTTTTTCAAACAGTCACTATTGATGAGAGGAAAATGGTAAAACACACGCATTCACACACAAAATTCCAGGCTTGTCAAAATAAAATCAAGTGTCAATACTGAAAAAAGAAATACAACAGCACAAAGTTGGCCTTATCCTGAGTAACTTAAGTCTTGAGCTACATCAGAACTTTTAAGACCATAACCACAACGCCATTTTGAGCCTTTTCCTTTGTATCCAAATAGAAATGCTGCTATTGTGACAACGCAGTGCAATTGAGGGGAATGATTCTACTTGCATTTTAAAAGTGGGCAGACATGCTTTAATTTTGCTCATTTAATATGGCAAAAACAACACAAAAATTTGGAATTGAAAATTGACTCTGGAAATCTAGTTTAACTCGGAAAAACTTTGCCTGTCTTTGCACTATATTTTCTGTGTGGATAACATTGACAATCCTTCGCCCTGTTCTCCCGATATCATCGCTGGATAATAACAAGGGGAGAGAAGTAAAAATAACACAATGGTGAGGGATGCTTCCACTTGGAAACTAATTATCAAGCTAAAGCTGTGACTTCATTCTCATCAGCCTGGCCCCAGCCATTAATCTTGTGCTGTCGTCCACTTCACTAAATCCTGTGTTACACTATCTCCCATTTACTTCATCAGCTCCAGCAGCAGCAGCACACAGCAGCAGCACGGGCCGTAATTAATGATTTCTCATGCCCTTCCCTCTACTCCCCCCGCCTCAACTCACCATGTGTCCTTCTGCTAATCACACTCCAGGAAAAAGAGGGGAGAGAAGGAGCAGACAGCGCCGCACGCTATGGGACACACACGTACTGTAAACATACACGCCATACCTGCCTTGACAATGAGCTTCATGCAGGTGACCATATATGACAAGATGGCGACTGGGCGTGATTGGGATAGTGTGTGACAGAAGACAGAGGCGGAGTGCAGAACAGACACACAGTGCGGTTTGATGAGCCACTGTTTGCTCTGTAACACGTCTCCAAAACCTCAAGCAGCACCTGTTCTTTCTACAGTGGTCTGTCACTTCCTGGCAGTTCTGATACCCAGATACCGTGCTAATGAGAGAGAAGGGGGGTTGTCACACGACTTAAAAACGCACACACACGCCAGTTTTTCCTTTCTTTTCCTCACAAACACACAAGCTATAAAAAGTGCACTCCTCATTTTTCTACCCGTGGATGCCTGCAGGGTACAGTGTTTTATCACCAATCGAGAGGGATTTGTTGTATTTGTTCACTGCGATGTCTAACTTCCTCAGTGCAATTCCTAAAAAGTTATGTAGAGTACAAAAGAGAACAGGTAGAAGAAATAAATTGTACTAAAAACTCAAATTTGTTTATTTAAGTAGATTTATCTACTCTGTAAATTATAATTTATGCAAAGGTAAAAAAGCAATTTGATCTGTTATTTATTTAATTTTATCTGTTATTTACTCACCAACTGGTTAAAATGGAGCCATCTAAAATGTATGTAATGTCATCTAAGTCAAGACAGTAACATAAATGTAACTTGTACACATTGTTTCTAATGGAATCATTTTACTTAAATGTATGTTATAGATACAAGTACTTTGACTATAATACTAGGCTATACTGTTTTAGTGGCTTTATGGTTAAAATCATAACACGCAAGCAATTTACATAATCAGTTTGATTATGTAAATAATCAGTTAAACAAGGAGTTTATAACTAATTGCAATTTTGTCAGTTTTGACACTTTTAATTGACAGTACCCTCAATTTGAACTCTATGACAAGAATGAAAATTATAGATGCCTAAACGCAAAATTGTGCTAAAACTGTAACAAAATGTAAAAATGCACACATGATTACGAGTATAGTAAAAATACAACCTACTTTCAACAGCTATATTACTTAAGTCTGCACAATTTCTAAACGTTAAACCACAGCAAGTCACTTACGAACACAGTGGCTCGGGTCTGACTGCTAGATTGAGCTGTTCCGAGAGAGAGAATTGGGGGAATAAAAGTCAAGTGTTTTGGAACAGGAGCTGGAGCTTTTAAGAGGGACTGGTTCGCCTTAACCCGGGCCATGCTTTTATATTCAATTGGAGCTTAGTGGAGCCAACAGGGCCTCGCTGTCTCAGACACTTAATTACAAGCCCAAGACCATTTTGCTTTGCATTCTGGGCCAGCGGCGTCTGTGGCAGTGGAGCGTTGCAGCCCTCTACTCACTTCCTCCTCGATCTCTGCCAGGGATTTGATCGTAATGCCCATTAAATTGACTTGCTGCATCTGAAATCAAACACAGGGAGAAGGGGGAGGGGGGTGGACAGGGAGAAAACACACAAGAAACATGGCGGTTAGGCTCATGGCTAAGTAAGCATGCTTAAAATCTTTAATCCTCCCTCTCGGTGTCAATACAAGTGAGGCTATAGTGACAGCCGCCACCAGCCAAATGGACTGCATTGAGCCAGCTTTGCATGACTGCTCACATTCATCACTCAGTCTGCAGAAATGGAAGGAAGTGCATGGGAGAGGTGCAGAATTTCTTTCTTTATTATAAATAGAAAGACCAAAGTGTATTGCAGCTATTATAGACAATCATGTCATAATACATCATCTTTAAAAATTCCCTTTACAGTTGTTTTTACCTTTGTGTTGGAGTCATGAAACTTCCCAGAGACGACAAATGGAATGTCATCCAAAGCTGAAAATGAAAAAAAAAAAAAAATATATATATATATATATATATATGTATATATTAACTTTATTTTTGATCTCGACTTTTTCAACATGACAAAATACAAGATTATTCACCAGTAAACCCCAGCTAGCATTGTGATCCCACCCTCTCTCCCCCGTTTCCGTCTATGGGAGAGAAGATGAAAGCCTTTTTTATTCCACGCTGTATTTGAGCACCTCCACTCTCCTCTCTCCTCCAGCCCTCTCCCCGTTTAATTACTCTTGATTATTCCCGATTCCGTCTTGTCTGGGAGATGTTCACCTCAGAAACAAAGGCACGCTCACACAGAGCAGAGAAAAGTGGCAAAGAAGGGAGACAAAACATTCACCAGATATCAAATTTGCATGAAAATAAGCCGCGCACTGTTCGGGAGGCAAAAAGTGGATTGAAATGAGGACTTGCCAAGAGCGTGGTGGTATAATTAGCATTTGACCAAACAAACGAGCTTCAACAGAGCTATAATTAAGCAGGCCTGTAATTAAGTGTATGCCCTTTATCATAATGATCGTGGTTAAAATGGTGTGATGGCTGCCAGTTGCTTATTAATGGCACAACCCCGACTGCATGCATCCTGCTCTGGAATCAAGGTGTCACCACTGTCAGGCTAGAGAGCAGCCCTTTGTTTATAAAATACATTAGGGTCCAAATTAACACAGGGTGACAGGGGACACAAAGCCCCTCTCATTCGCAGGCTGAAGGGAAAACTGCAGCTGCTCGGCTTCATTTAGAAAACTCTAAATTGAGAGGCGCAAAACTTGAGACTAAGGCTGGATTTCAAAGTAAAAGCATCAAATATCAAAAGGCGAAGCTCACAACTGTCCTTCAGCTGGCAGAGGAAAAGGAACTTGTACATTTAAAACCGTGTGAGTCATGGTTGTGTTTAACTCTGGCATCTGGGGGAAAAGCTCTAGCCTTGACTTCAGAAGTGATTCCCGACTTAACAATTACACAATGTAGTTTCCATATTATTTTTGAACAAAAGGATCTTTGTTGTCCCTCACCTTATGACTGTATGAAATATCTGAGGATACATTTCTGTGCCAAAAGGAAAAGCTGAACAAAAAAGTAGAGGAAATTACAAAAAGGGAAGAAAAGTCAAAACCTGATGCACTCATACCAATTCACATCAAGGCATTAACCATCCATTATTATAGGCATTATGTCAACACTGAATTGAAAAAGGAAGGGTCTATATTAGGTTGCACTTTGAGGCACTCTTTTTCAAACAATTGTTGGGTGGAGTGCGCCCAATCTACAAAACATACATGTATATATTTTTTGCTTTTTTATTTTGATGAATACATGTAACCAAACCTAACCAAATTGAGTCTCAGCATTATTAACTTGCATGTTAATTTGACTTATTTTTACCACATTTTGCTCAGGTAGTCTCCAGGTTTGAGACTAGCACAAGCAGAAACCTAACTTCTGACCCTGTGTGGTTGTATGATATAAAAGCAAAAATAAAAACACTACTATGTTTGCCAAGAGCACCAGGACCGAAGCAGAATATATTTGATTCAAGTCGGCGCTGGGAAGTGGAGATTGCCACTGCTGCTGATGGATCTCTATGGCACAGACGGATGAATGCGCACAGCTGAAGGCCAGAGAGTTTCTTTATTGCTCAAGGATTACATTTAAAACCAGATCTCACTTTGTATTCCCCCACCATCTATACTGCACAGGCTATCTCACACCAGGACAAATGGTGAGGCCCTGGAGATGGCCTGGTGGTGCGCTTTGTGCTTGGAAATGGATGCTGCTGGTGGCACAGTGGAATCAGGAGGTCCAAAGGGCAGGAATAATGTAAATCCAATCTTGTGAACAGAAATATGACACACGCCCCAGTCGCTCAAGTGGCCCAGCTACAGTCCATTACCTCACAAGTGTATTACAGAACCAGAAACCACGTAGTTATTTGGAGGTGTGAAAGAATAGGTCAATAGGAAAACATCTGGTGGGACCTCTTTAGTATAATAATGACGCTGGTGGAGACGGTTGAGTGCAGAGATGGCATTAAATGGTTAAATGGACAGGTAAAGCTGATATGAGGAAAATTTGATGCACAAAATTGAGTCAAAGTGATGAAAATGTAACTTATACTTTTGATATTTCATCGGTACTTGTTTGTACTTTAGTTTAGAATGTAATGTTCCACAGTATGGCATCAAACTTCTCTATATTGCCTTTATCGAAGTGTTGTATTTCTCTCCATAAAGATAAATTGCTAAGTTAAGTTAAGATAAGTTAATGCCACATTATGGACCTTTCCAGGCAAAGTAATAACATCTGCATGGACAAGTGGTCTTTGTTTTACTTTTCTGTAAAATTCAGCTCTTAGACTAAAATCTCTTTCCCTTTACTTCAACAGATGAACTGCATTTTAAGAAATACAAATTTGAACCACCTCTGCAACATCTGGCTGGACCTTTTTCTGTATAATGATGATGATGATGATGGTGATGCTGGTCGGTGAGCGCAGAGGTGGTGTTAAGTAAGGAGGACCCTGCCGTTTGAGCGATTGTAGTGTAAAGAACGGAGTCAGCAGCGGCCCGTGTGGATCATTGCCTTATTAATGGCTCCGTCAGGTGCTATGAGCAATGGCCGCATTGTCATCTCCAGCCCCTGGGCACAGATGAATGGCTGTTTCAGGGCGGGCAGGGCTGCCTCGTTCGCCAGGCCCGGTCTAATCCCTCAGACGTCCATTGTTGGATGCACTGTCACCGGGACTCAGGCGGCTGTGGCGTACAGTACATTGCATTTGCGGCGCTCCACCAGACACGGACATGTTTTCCCCGCACTCACAAAGACACACATAAACTGCTCCGGATTGTGCAGAGACACTGACTGATGGAAAAATATGCGTGGGTGATCGACCATGCACCGTATTACCTGATCTGGAACACTTTAGGAATGTTGATGAACTTTTATTTTACACTTCACTAATTCACCAGGGTTGCATTGATCTCTGTCTGGTACCATTACCTGGGTGAATCCTTCGTGGACTAAATTAAATAAGAAGGTCAACAGTGAACCAATAATGCGCAGCATGAATTACCATCTTAACATTGTTTTCTGTGGCAAAATAATACAATTTGAAACATGTAAAAAGAGGGTGCTAGGTTTTATATGCCAAACAACAGCATCAGGGTTTCTTGAGGTGTAGACATTGTGAGACCTTCCCTGTCGCTGTGACTCTCATTTTGAGAGGGTTCCTTATGCAGACCATGGAGATGCTATTCTAGGGGCAGAGCGCTCTCTGTCACCTCTGCAGATAATGGTGAGTCGCAGTAGAGCTGGAGGAGGACCCCCTGTGCCCACTCACAGCCCTTAGCCCCACTATGACATGAGCAATAGTGCCCAGGCCTGACAGCATCTCCAGACATATTGTAGTTTATTTTGTCGCCCGGGCATGCCATCTGTGCCATTCCAGTGGAGGGAGTGTGTTGAAGCTGCTGCTGCCGGAGCGTGCGGGCGCTGGGCCCTCAGTAGATCTGCAGGCGCGGCAGGTCATTAGTCAAATTGCCTAATGAGAGAGAATACAAATGGCCCCCTACCCTGACAGGAGGAATTTTGGAGGTGTCAGAGCTCCTGACCCGTGCTATGAGAACAGATGATAGCGAGATGCTATTTTGAGATTCATTTAATGACTATGGCTCTATGAAAGCCATTCTTTTTCTTTTATCTTGGGCTGCTTTTTCAAGCCCTGCAGACAGTAACGGAGAAGAGAAAAAAAACTTTTCAACATGTTTGAGGAAAATCTCTGTTGCAAATGTGGCAGTGTATCTTTTAAATTATTCAAATGTTGACTGGCTAGTCAATTAAAAAAACTAGAAAGAGTTTTACAGAGAAAGTAGCATGCAAGAGATGACACATGATCCTGTGGCTTCCTCCATGATGTACAGGCACATAACAAATAATACTTGTTTCTGCAGGCGGTTACAGTTTGTTTTTCAGTCTGTAGCAAACAGAAGCCTCTGGGGCAACTCGCTGACAGCAGTCTTCACACTAAAATATTCATCTGCTCGCATCCTGATACTCAGCATTAGATTTAAGTGTGTTTACATTTGCTAAGAGCAGAGTTTGAATACTGATATGGGTGGATACTGCAATGAATTAGGTTCTTAGGTTTGAAAATATGCAGAGAACTTGATTACTGAATTTCAATAAGGAATATAATAATGAATATGATAATTGACTAAAACAGACAAATAAGTTCTCACTTTTCAAAAACTAAAACTTAACTTGTCCCATATTTGAATGAAAAGCTGGATGCATGATTCTGCTGAATGACCCACTTATTTTCCATCTGTGACAAGCAGTCCTTGAAATGTGCGTATGGGCAGGATCCAGGAGGCAGTCCCAGTGGGCGCTGCTCCATCAGTCTTCAGAAAGTGGGCAGAGCCAGAAACACCTATGGAGAGTTGGCTACAAACAGCCAACAGCACAGAGATGTGGGAAACTTTTCCACTTCAGTGTAACTGTATATTGTGCCTGGATAGAAAACGGCCGACAGACTGTGAGCCAATAAATCCTGAGATAACTTTCCACAATTAAAAGCTGTTTTAATCGTTCATTTTAAGCCCTCGGAGCGTTTTTCAGTTGGCAGGCTATTGTGAGCTCTTATGAAATTAAATGGACAATCAGACTTTAATCAGCAGCATAGCGTCTTTAAGACACTGCCACAGCCCTCACAGCCCTGCATTAATCCCCAGCTGGGGCTGCTGCTAAATGTGCACACAATGTGCAGTGAATGTGTGTAGTCGTGGCTACGCCTCTCTGGACAAGTGGAAGAGCTGGCACAGGCCTGACACTAAATTGTATGTGCCGGATGGGACACAGCAGAAGGCACAATTACACAAATCCCCTCTTAATTAGCGGTTCTGTGGGCAAGCTAAACCGTAATGATGCAGGGATGTGGCGAGCCCCAGAAAGTCTAACAAGAAACACTCAGCAGCCCTGAAGCCCGCTCCCCGGGTGTCATGGCGACGCTGAACTGTTGAGATCAAAGCTGCTGTGGGACACGCAGCTGCCCGTTGAGCGGCCGGCTCTCCTCACCCTGACCCTTCCCTGAGCCCCTCAGAGCTGCCTGCCCTCTGGACTGTGGCTAAAGCGCAGGCCCCGGGTGGTGCAGGGTGGTATTATTAAGTTCTCCATGCTCACAGTACCAGGCAATGTAAAGTGGCATCTCACACAGTGAGTAATGAAGTGTGCCAACGCAGAAGCAGGAGGGATGACAGCCAAAGAGGCCTCCTTGGCAGCCACTAACCTGGGCATCCAACAATTTATCATCCCTGAGAACCAATCCACCAATGCAGCGCCGCCATTTGTCATTAATTATGCTAATAAGGATACCATTACTCTCCTGATGAAATTGGCCACTGCCAGCATTTATTGTTTTGTTTGAATGCATTTGCTTGAAGACTTTTTCTGTGTGACAATATGTATTCCATTGTAGAAATGAAATTGTGTTGCTGTGCTTCGCCCAAATGCCCTTTCAGAGGTCCTTCTGGTACATACAGTAATTGAGTGTAAAGCGGTGACAAAAGCTCTGTTTTTTAATCATGCGCCGTGCATGCACAAATGTAAAGAGGCTGATGGGCTTGAACTTTCTCACTGCAGACTTTGTGGCTCGGAGCAGACCCATGTGAACAGAACTATTTAATATAGAGCCCCAGATGCCCTTTTCCAAAACGACTTCATTCCCAGAATCTCATTGTGCTTTCCACATCACACCACAGTATGCATTAGAAGATCATTAATTACAAACTTAACAAGTCAGCAGAGCCATTAAAAGATCTTTTCGGCATATTTGACCATAAATCTCCTTAAACTAGATTTAATGACTGGATTTTTACGAAATATTTTTTATCAAGTTCTAATTAGATGGTGTGATAACAAACCCTGCTGTACATGGGGCAAATGAGGGGATGCTGACAGGCCCATCCATTGAGGCTGTCCTGCGTCTGGACATTTAAACTAATGGGGCAACGCTGCTATCTCAGGGATGGATAGAACGCAATGAGGGATGAGACTCCAGAGTCCAGTCCAGCCTGCAAATGTAAAGCCATTTGAAGTCGCTTATTTGACTGTTATAAAGGGCCAAAATGCCTGGGGCCCTATAAGGCTCCTGGATCCCATTAGGATTCATGGAGGATTGATTCTCTAGTATTTTAATGGACAAATCAAACTGGGGTCAAGCATTAGTGCCAGATCACAGTAATGAAGCAATAGTAATGTTGGTAATATCTTGAAACAAAAAAGGATCTCAACCAGGCTTTGATTGATAAAAAAACAAGATTATGAACTTTTCAAGTACAATTCATGCTAAGGCTTGGACTGCTGCCAGACCAAGCCCAAATAAATGAAGAGCTGCATCTGGAAAGGCATCTGGAATTAATCTACACTAGGGGAAACAGAATATAGGATGGCATAGAAAATAATTAATTTCAACGCCTTTTTTGACAGGTAAAGAATGCCACAAATGCTCAAATGATGTAATCCAAATGAAATTAAAACTATGGCTGGAAAACAATTTATTAGAATAATTTAATTAACCAAAAAGGTTTGTTTTTTATTCATTTTTAACTGCGCAGCTAATTTAATCAGAAAATGCCAGTAAACACGGCACTGCTGCTACACTCTCTCTCCCTGTTTTTGCCTTTTGCTGACCAGAGGCATTAAGAGTTTAAATGCGGGTTTTAAGAGGGCTCCTTTCATGTCTTGATGTAAGCTTTGGCATTACTTCAGACACGGGTTTGATAGAGATCCCCGCTCCATCTCAAGTAAAAGCTGGGGCTGTAAATCTGCCTGTACCTCCCCCATAACACTCCCATAAATGATTCATTCAGTCGACTTTAGCTGATGCAAAACAGAAAGAGTTGCACATACAGAGGCCACTAACTGTAGACCAACTGTGCCGTTTTGTATATCCATCCATCTCCCGTAGAAACGCAGTAATAATAACTTTTGTGTCACCATCCAGAGGTCGTACTTTTTAATCCCTCAGACTAAAGAATTGTGTTATTCTAAAATATAACCCAGCGGTGCAGAATCGCTTCAGATCCATCATTGCTGGAGATAAGAGAGAGCCCGCCTGCTCCGTCCGCGTGCACACTGTAGCCTCGCCAACTACATTCGCAGATAAGATTGAACTTTTGTTTGAAACCTGACGAGAATCCTCTTAATGAAAGCGCGCGACAAAAATAATCTTTTTTCTCAGTGTTAGTCAATCACGAAATTGTAGTAAAAAAAGGGGGAATGGAGAAAGAAAAAGTAATTTTGCATAATCAGTGAGCACCATCTGGAACAATTAACCAAATTCCACAGAACTCCGAGGATCAGTCATATTGGCTTATTAAAGATCCTGGAATTATACAAGTAATAAATCCTTGGAAAAACTGAGCGTACCCTCGGCCTGTCACGACTATTTTAACTTCAAATACAGTGGAATACTTGATAAGGCTGAAAAGAGGAGATTAATATATGCAAATTATGTCGAGCATTTAAAAGCCCCCCAACAACTGTCTCGATTTTCCCCCCCTGTCTCTTATTACTGGAGCTTTATGTTTTATTCATACACCAACTCACCTGTCATTTCATAAGCTATAATATTATGAGGGTATTATTAAACAGCACAAAGTGGAGGCTTTAATTGGAAGCCTCCGTAGCATTTTCCCAATTATTTGTGGCAAATTAAAAGCAGATGCACATAGTTTAATAAGAATTCTAATATTGTTTCCGGAAAATCAAAAATCACTGTCATCCCTGCCAAGATATTTTGCAAACCCCAAGTTAATTTTGTGCCTTCTATTTTCTGTCCTCTGAAGGATGGACTGTCTGGTGCCTGTTAATTGAAGTTCGCCCTAATGGATCGAGAAATAATTGCTCTCCATATTACGTTAGATCAAGGCCAATGTCAGGATTTATTTTTGATTAATGTGATAGATATGTAAATGCATTACTTTTATTACGTTTACTTTTTATATCTCCTCTTGGATGCCTGCAAAATACTGTATACTCTACTATAGCTAATCACCTGAGACACCATGCCATATTACAGAGAAGAGTTCAGATTTTCCTCTTTTAAATTTATTTCAATTTTATTAAAAAGCAATTTGGCATTTTCCATCAAAGCATGTTTAATTACCTTTAAAAATCCCACTCGCTTTTTGTCTTTGCATAATAGACCTAATTGGCAAATGGCCCTGGCATGGATCAAAGCAATGCAAAAAGGTTAGCACCACAATGAAAGCTCGATAACTTTTCAAATGAACCCCAACTGTCAAATGAAAGAGCCCCTCACAAAATAGATGTGAATTAGTTTTTAATATTGGGCTAATAAATGTCAAAGTGCCAGCATATCACACGTGTACACCATGTCAGAGGCTATGACAGATTCCGCAGACATGCTACCTCTCCTCCCCTTCAACTTGCTGGATTTTTTTTTCTTTTTTGTTTTGTTGGGGAAAAGTGACGGAGGGTTTAATCAAGAAAGCAGGCAATTCATCAATCCTAAAGAAGGCGCCTGTACAAGTCTGACAGAGTGCACATGGTTTTAGCGCAACTCCAACCTGGCCAGCTGTCTACCCTGCATACACACACGTACACACACACACATACACGGAGATACAGCTACCGCCAACAATTAGCACAAATAGGCTGTCAGCTACGACCTCGCACTCGATCTGCGTGCTATCACAGTCTTAATAAAGGCAAGTGGTGTTCTAGCACATTCTCCGTGTGATGCTGCGTGCGTCTGTAACAATAAATCCTCAGCTCATATTCAAACTCTATTATGGAGCTGTAGAAAAAGAAGAATTAAAAAAAAAAAGGAGCTCGTAGAGGTAAGTGGTGGGGGGTGAGGAGGGCGGTACAGTGCGTTTCTTCTCCACTGTCAGTCACAGGACGTCCCGGCGGAGGAATCTCACACCAAATGTCACGGACCATTCGGCTGTGTGTTAATGCCCGCTCCTTCAGGGCCACACTTGGCAAAGTTATGAAACGAGTGTCAAAGCCATCCCATAATGTATTAATCATCTTAAAAACGCTAGAAAAAAATAAAGCAAATAGGTGAATGCTTTTACCCCTCCAGCTTTCAATAAAGATTTCCAGGATTTTTATTCTGTGAGAGCGCACGGAGCAGGATGAATGTTCACCACATGGGGTCTCTCTCCAGCCAGATAAAAAGCAGCTTTCTACACTGGCTCCATGTGCAGCTTACACACTTGTAGTCTGCAGCCTCTCAGTCCGCTCGCAATATGGGCTTAGACTGTCATGGCTAAACTAGGGCTGCTCAGTATATGACCAGTTCTGTTACTGCAGTGTTGGCAAATTTTCACAAACAAAATTAAAAAATTGTTGTAAAATTAATAATAATGTAATTTAAGGTTTGACATGTCACAGTGAGACAGTTGTTTATATTAAAGAATTTCAATATTGTGACAAAAATAAAGCTTTTTTTTTTTTTAAATTACTTATTTAGGCTGGATTTAATATTATCATTTGTTTGTACCACTGAAACCCAAGCCTTTTTTTTTTTTTCAAACTACTTTATAATTTATTTAATAGCCCAATTTAACTTTGGTCTTTGAGATATCTTTAGACAGGCTAATAATCATCCTTATTACAGCATACTGTATATACAGTATATTTGTTATGATTATGAAACCTTAAGATCAACTCTGCTACAGAAAAAAATGTAATAAAAATAAAAACATATTTCGCTATTTTGACCCTGAAAAGTTGAACTGAAGCAGCACTTCTCCTGTCCGAAGCATGAGGCTGAATCCAGTGGTGTGAGCTGTGTGGTGCGCTGTGTGTGTGTGTGTGTGTGTGTGTGTGTGTGTGTGTGTGTGCATATGCAGTACAGTGTTGATGGATCATGGCTGACAGCTGTTAAATGTTCTCTTGAGGGTAATGCGCGGCTCTTTGGGAAAGTCACGTACAGATAAGCACGGCTCTACAACAGGTGTAGATCAAACCAAAGCTGACTATACACAGGTACCCGTCAGGAGGAGCTTTAAACGCATCATACCATTCTAAATGCTAAGGCTTTTGTCACTATAACCACAAGAAATCTGCTTACATTAGTTTTTTTTTTTATGAAGCTAGTTTGGAATAGAAGTTCATATTTAGAAAGTGTTACTTCATTCTTTACATGCAGTCCTATATGAGTGTACTTCTTAGTTTCTTTTTTCTTTCAGCTAATAAAATTACTTTCAGCTTTATCTATAAGGCTGCCACAGCAAAAAATCTGTCATTTGAATGCAGTAGTTTATAGTGATTTTGCACCAGATGCCCTTCCTGACAAATACCTTTCTAGTTAACCTTAAGTGTAGACGTGGGTGATTTTAATAATAGTGTGTTAGTTAGTATAAAACTAAATTCTGCTTTAACTATGTAAAAAAAAATATGGGTGTGGTATTTAAAAAGCTTACCAGTCTTGGTGAAACCTCCGCTGTTAATCCGCTCACAGTCTGGCCGGCTAGTGCTCCTCCTGTCACAACAATAAGTCACAAATAAATACAACTTACTTTGTTTTAAATGATGCTAAAGAATAAGTGCAATCTTACAATTTCTAGGTATACAAATGAATGTATATGTGGAAATAAGAGGTTATCTTTTGAAGTCTAACTGTTTTAAATTCAGGGGGAAAATTCTATTATTGAAAGGAAGTCTGCTTTACCGTTTCATGGCCTTGTATTACAGAAAACAGCACTGAATGCACTTTGCGCACATTCGAAGTTAACAAACCATATAAGATTGAAATCCTCATCAATCAAGCTATCATGAATTACACCCTGTGACTCACCCCTATGGATCGATAAATCCACAGCAAGCAGGAAAAAAAATCACAGCTTCACCAGAGCAGCATTGTGTGATATATGCTTTGAAGGTAAAATGAGCTCCCAGATTGCATTATAAAACAAATGGTCTTATAATGATAATGCAAAGTAGTTGGCTATAGCATTAAAAGTGGAATTACTTGAGGATGCACCACGCATAAGAGTTTGGGGTAGAGGTAAAATCGACCAATGAGCAGACAAGGACAGAACATGTGTTAGCGTGCAAAAAAATGTGATTTGTGCGTAAATGTTTGCCGTTTTTGTTTATAGGCAATATAGTTAATTTAAGTGTAATGCTGAATTTAGGATGGCATTCTGTGGGGGATGTTTTTGTGAATTGCAGCTTTCAAGGCCTTATCTCTTTGGATGAGATAAATAAATGCAATAATTTCCATCAAGAGCAATAAAACAAGACTAGTGACAGGCCGTGGTATTTATGAGCTGAAGCTTTGCAACTCAGATTTATTTGCAGTGAAAGGGTGGACTTTTCTCCTCCTCATTTACATGAGCATTCGGCCATGTTCAGCCCAGGCCAATGGTGAATTTTTAAAAGGTTGACATCAATCTTGTGGGGACACTTGCCATCTTCAATAGAGACTTTTTTACCTTGCAAAGGTTGAGTTCTACCACAGATGGAGAAGGCTATCTTTCAAAGCACTCATCAATAATCCATGGGTTGACACAAAAGATGAGATTTTCTTGATATTTTCTGAATTGTTTGTTTACTATTGGCTGCAACTAACCTCCAAACTTAACAACAAGTCCCTAGAGAAATGTACAATGTTTTTTTTACGGGACAACCTCCAGAGCTCCTCTCCCATCTGTTTCAAACAAAAAACTGTCTTGGTCCAAATTGGAGATTTCTAAATACAATTTCAGGTGCAGCAGAGAGGCTAGCATATGGTAAATCAATTAGACAAGTAATTCTTAAAACAAATCCATGGCAAGAGCTGTGCTAATCAACAGCAGTGTTGGGCCCATATTACGTTGGCCACTGGAGTTTTGACAACAATTAATCCTCATTTCAGACAGAGCCATACTGACACATTTTCCTCATTTGAATATTCAATTAGTGTGTAGGAGCAGGTCCTCATCAAATTAGGGTAAAACTGGGAATGTCAAAGATTTATACAATTACATGGCAGCTAAGGAGTCTTATGTTACAGTGAAATGTGCCAAACTTAAAATGATGTTAGCAGCAAAACAAACCAAGACAGAGAAGGCTATGCTTATCAACATGCAAACACTTTTTATGGTGTTATTTAAATGGAGAGCAGAGAGTGTTTAGAAGACAAGGAAAGAAGGAAGTAAGGAGACATGGAAGGAGGCAAAGGAGGAGACACATGGAGGAGATGAGAGAAGGAGACATTGGAGGAGATAGTGGAATAGATATGGAAGAGATGGTGAGGAAAGATATGGAAGGAAACAGAAAAAGAGGACAGCGAAGGTAGGAGATAGGAAAGGAGGCAGTGGAGGAAACAAAGACATCGAGGATAGATTGAAGGAGACAGTAGTGAAAGCAATGGAGGAGAGTGAAGGACTTGAGGACACTTGGTAGGGGACATTGGAGGAGACAAGGAGACATAGGACATAGAGGAGGAAATAGTGAAGGACTTAAGGAGACAAGAAAGGAGGCACTGGAGCAGATAGGGATGCAGCCAAAGGGAGGAGACATGGGAGGTGACATAAGAAGGAGACATTGGAGGAGATTATGGAGGAATGGGACAAAACAGATAAGGACACAGCTGAAAGAGTTGAGGAGACAAGGAAACATAGAAGAGATAGGGACCAAGCTAGAAGGAGGAGGCAAGGAAGGAGGCAGTAGAGGAAATATAGTACACTCCAAAATGTTAGTAGCTAACCTCGCTTAAAATGACTTCATTTTCAGATATTTTTCTGGATTTGAGTAGTTATTTCTGAGTTACCTTTACAATAGTTTTAAATGCCTTTATGTACACATTTCACTGGTATCCAAACATTTCTGACTGCTAACAAGAAAATGTAGATTTAAATAAGAACATTTATTGGCAAATACTGGTAATCTACAAAACAAGCAGTACCACACTGGCAAATTATGAGACTTGAAATAAATAATATAATACATCAGAAAAATCTTGAAACAGCATAATCTAGATCCATCAAGTAAATCAATATTAAAGGGCCACTATGTAATTTTTGACTGGGTTTCTGTCACCTGCTTGTTTCAATGGATATGTCCTTGCTCTGCGCAGAATGTTCCATAGTATGTAGTAGACATTAAACAGCTTTATTTTACATTTATTAAATTACAGATCGTTTTATAGCTCAAAAATACCTACAGGCATTTTGACTGTGAGCAGGGTTAATTCTCCACAGATCTGACCTGTAATTTGGTCTGGTTTGGTCTCCATGAATATAAAAAGATTTAATACCATACTGTGAAGCATTCCAGACAAAGCAATTGCATATCCATGGAGAAAAGCATTTGATGGACTTCCACCAGAAAAGTTACACAATGCATCTTTAACTTAAACTTAACTTAAACTAGAAATAATGAAAATAAGATAATCAGAATTCATGTCATTTTAACTTAACTAATTATTAATTTTTCAGTGTAGGTGAGATGGTAGGAGACTGTAGGACACCCTGATAGTGTTGTTCAAAGCAAGAAAAATGATGTGACGAAGGCTTTTTTGTCAAAACATTATTTAAAAATTTAAAAAAAGCTTTTGGACATCGGCCACCTGAGTGTGCTATGCATTTTTTCACTTTTATTAGGAGACAGTAGGACAGCCAGAGGAGCTGAGGAGACAAGGAGGCAGGCGAGGAGAAAGGGAAGGAGCCAGCGGTAGGAGACAATGAATGAGACTGTAGAGAAGATTGTGTAGGAGCCAGACAAGGATCCAGGCGAGGAGACAGAGGAGGAGACGCGGGTGCAGCCGAGGAGCACTCTGCAGAGGTAAGATGAGGATGAGAGTAATATTAGTGCGATCCCGAGCGCTGGAAGGAGCTCTTGTTTTGACACACATCCAGCCCATTCTGTGACAACATCTCTACACTTTCTCTATGTGACGACAGTGCGGCTTTGTGGGAGCTGCTGCCTGAGCCATCATTATCTTCCTTTAAGCTCTATGTCAGGTGAAGAAGAAAGAATCTCTCAGGATTTTATGGCAAATCACTGAACGCTCTTTGTCCGCGGCCTTTCAGATCTCCGCTGATCACTCCATCATTCATGGCATCGCTCTCCGCCTGTCCTCTTGATCTGACTACTTTCTGTAACTTTCCTGAACACAACAAAGTAATGAGTGAGATGGTGGAGGAAATGATTGTTCTCCCAAACTTCAGATGGCGCCACACTGACAGTTGCCGTGTCTTCTTCTCTCCCAGAGCCCTGTGCACTGGGAAGTCTTGGTTAACCAGCCAGCAATGAAAGCCGATACAATACTCCTGCAGAGTTATGGCAATATGCAAGGAGTCAAAGGCATATGACAGTGCCAGCCAGAGCGTATTGATATGCGTGCCACTTCTGACACTGATGACTCTCTATAGGCTTCGCATGTTCAAGAAAAAAATCTAAAAATGGATCCTTGGCCGTGACATTTTTATCGCTGTACAGTTTGATTTAAAAAGTGCCTGTGTGTACAATAGCCTATTATTCTAAGAGAAATGTCAAAAACCTTGATTCGGAGTCAAGCTAAAGTAATTGCAATATTAGAACAAGGCTAATTTATGCTAGCAGTCAGTGTAGAGGTCAGATATCAGCCTCTGCCATGACAGTTTTATCAGGAGGACAAATGGCACTGTTGGCCAGGAGAACAGAGGAGGGGGATACTTTACTGGACACATTAAAAGGCTGACCGGATGGTGTGGTTTTTTCACATTATAAAGTCGGGCTCTGGAGATATGGTCTGACAGAGAACAAGCTAAAGTGGTTGACATCAAGCTGTGGCTATGAATCAAAACACCGCCGTGTCACCGACTCAAACGCGCAGAACAAACTGGATATAAATGCATAAGAGAGTGCAGAAGTAACAGGAAAACAACGTCTTTGGAGCTCAGGATAGTGTCATCATACCTCTTCGAATTTTCAGTTAGCCTAATGTTAAAACAATCAAGATTTTAAAATGCTAAATATTAAACTCAGTGTTCATTGAAAAGTATTTTGACATTTGCTAATGCATCTCTATGGATGCTTTGCATGCCCATACACATTATGTTAAATACCAAGCTCTTTACCTGGATCCTGGTCTTTAAAAAGGGGAAAATGTAGCTGCTTTCACTTTTATTATAACTCAATTTTTTATTGAGTTTCTTTATTTTTTATAGCAGCCTCACCTGAGCAGAAAAACATTCAGAAACAGTAAACAAAACTAAATATTTGAATACAGCACTTCAGCCACAAAAACAATGTCTGTGTGCTCCTCATAATGATGCAACAGCCAGCACTCACTGCAGCTTTGTACTGCTTAGAAAACTGATTTGCGGTTTTACTTTCCGTACACAACTCTAACAAGCTCCTGCTGCCTCAGGCAATGTAACATTTGAGAGGAATCACTGCGGCTTTCAAAATTATAAGGGTCATTAAAAATTTACACATTATTGACTGTATTTAAAACATCTTTTCCACTGACTGTAAAGAGCACTTAAATTTAAGAGGTGCTATTCTCCAAAGGCCATAAAGTTGTTATAGATAGCCAGAAGGAGGCATACAGGGAGTGCAGGCTCTGGCTGAATATGAATAGTTGAGTAGAAGGTGATACTGGGTGAAGAGCAGCGAGGAAATTAGCTTAAATAAAAACAGATTTAGTTTATTTGGGAGATTCTTGTTCTTGTAGTAATGGGACAAATAAAGACTAATATTTGATAGGGAACTGTTCATGTGGGCAGATTTTTTTTTAATACTGTTGCGTTGTTTTTTGCTAATATATTTTTATGTTTACACACTTTCTTCAATAATTCCAAATGCATATTCAATACTACATGTATTTGTTACTGTAATAGCACCCCATATATTTCAGTGCATTGTAGACAGAAATAGTGATAGAAAGAAGCCTCTCTAAATGTGGGGTGAATTTTAATGCAAAGACAAAACCAGCAGCCTGTGATCTCAGCAGGCATCAGGAGGGGGGAGTTGCTGGAAGGTACATTTTATTCTAACCTTTGAGCCTGGCCAACTTGAAAGTGGGCTTCAAAAGAACAGAGGATTACTGCTAAGAGTTGGGAAGCATCGTGCCTTTGGTAGAAAGTATCAAAGCACACTGACCACTTTCTACTTTAAACATTACTTATGAATGAGTCACGCATACTCAATATCTTATCTGATCCAGCTAGCTACAGGATATCATGAGGCGTGTACTATTTGTGCCACTCCCAAACCCTGGTCAATTCAAAGGGTTGCAACAGAAACCAAATGAGGTGAATTACAGTGTAGTAAGTGGCAGATGATATGCTGTAGGGGTTCCAGAAGGGAAAGACTGAAAGGAAAGACATTTGGTTGTTCTTAAGCCTGGGGTGTCTTGTAACTGGTGTGTAAATAGCCGGGTACAGCATGGCACAGCACTTGCACTTGAGGCCTCCAGTGTCCCATGCCAAGCTCCCCTCTCCACACAGAAGGAGCCTCACTTGTTTATTTACAATTTGCTTGGGAAATCCCCAGTTCTTGGTGAAGATAAATAATGGAGCTGTTTGATGTGGACACAGTACAAAGGGCTGATGCCGAGAAGGAGGAAGCATGAGCAGAGACAGCCGAAGGGGGGCACGCTCACTCCGGCACGGCGGATGATCCGGAGCTCTCCTCCCTTCTTCCTTCGCAGCTGTCGCTCCCTCTCCGGGCTACATCTCCTCCTCTTTGTCTACATACTACAACACTGCTGTCACTACAGTCAGAGAGCGCCCTGCCTCTGCCTCCTGGGACACAGCACAAATAGCAAGAGTTTAGCCCTCATTGAACTCGTGTTGTGTTCGGGGGTTCCTGTCTAGTTAGCCCGTCTCTCTCCGGTTCACCCTCTCTACCTCGTAGTCCAGCCACAACCTTTCCAGCAGATTGCCCAGGAGTGATCAATTGCTTGTGTCTTCATTGTCGTACATATGGTTCAGGGAACAGCTCAAGAATACACTGAGCGTGAAATAACAGAGGAGGAATGCAGGAAAGTTGAACAAGTAGACCTGCTTATTTGTGGTATGCATTCAATTAAAAAATATATGCCTGCATAGGATTACCAGTTGCGTAACAAAAAAAAAAAACATGATGAACTGCCCTTCAACTGAATACAGTACAAAAAACTACCAAGAAATAAAAATGTGCTAGGTAAATAAAATGAGAGAAATCTGGATACATTTTACAAGTTTTTGACATCTTATTCTAGAACGCACATTTATTTTTCTTTTCACTCATTTGTGAAAAGAAAAGTGGTAATAGTACTTTTGATGGTACCATACTAGTAGTGGAAGAACTATGCAGAAGTATGTAACTGAATCATTTTTCAACAGATTGCATACATACAAATATTCATTCAATCTGATTTGCATATTATCCAAGTTTTAAATGTTGAAGGTGATGTTATGTTTTATACCATATTATTATATTCTAAGTAAATGGATGTGTCCTTTACCTCACAGTTTGAGCCGGAGTTGCACTGTTGGATTCACTCGCTGTTTGAAGTTTTTGTGAATGGACATCTCCAAGTCGGGACCACAAAAACATGTTATTGATCTCCCTGTGTAAAGCATAAAGTTGTAAAGACATTATATTAATGCTTGACTTTTTCTTGTCTTAATATGACAGAAAGTCCCTATAAGTAATATCTGATTGAAGTATATTTATAGTGTAGCATGGCTCACCCGACGCAGGTGTAGTTAACAAGATGGTACTTTGACTTGGCCACGATCTGGATGTCATACACAGCTGTCTGAGTGGAGCCGCGAGGGCTCACTCTCACACACAGCCTCTTCTTTCTCGTGGCAGTTTCCTCTGATGAGTCAGGTGCAACAGTGTGTCAGACAGAGAGCTATTTCCGCCGCCGAGATTGAAGCTAAAATAATATCTAGGGGCATTTTAGGTACAGTATATCCTTAGGGGAAATATACAGAACTGGGCAAAAAGTTTTACTGAGCTCTGAAAATGTGTCCAAGCCCAGGGAGCCAATAAACACGTCTTCTATAATGCCTGCTGCTATGACAGAATACAGTTCCTAATTTCTTCACCTAATAATTATTACACGTTTTAATTCATTTATAAATACTTTGACACTTAGGTATACTTTTTAATACAAAAATACAATTTTAAAATGTGACATTTCTACACTTTTGTGGATAAGTTCACATGTTAGGATATTTTTCTTGGATTGTGAAATTATGTTATTGTTATCTCTATGCAAAAAGTACATATTTAGATTAATGTTTTTGTCAATCTACCTCAAAGTACAAGCACTACATTTTTATTATTGTAAATGTTCAATAATGTATATCACTACATTCCTCCTTCTTAAAATGTATCTAAAATACCTGTGCCTTACTGTATATCTAAGTACTAAACATTTGTTCTCTTTGTGCTCATGCCATTACCCAGCAAGCACAGAATAATACATAAGCTAATATAAGCACTGGGTGACTTAGTGTGCTCCAAGGAAAAGGACTGGACAATGGAAAGCAACAAAATCCAAATGCATTATTATCATTTTTATCACTTTAGTAGGTGAAATGACACAGGCAAGTGAATCCTCCATCAGCTCTAGTGCACATCAGGGATTTAGTCTAGATATTATGGAGGGTAGCTCATACATAATGTCGCATGTATACATTAAACATGGATTCACATAAAGTAATAAAACATTAAATTACACCTTAGCCAAACAAAACATAATCTCTTTTCTTCATTCAGGCAAAAAATACATAGCCACGCTGCTCTATATTGCATGTGCTCTTCCCTCATTTATTTCCCCGGCAACACTCCAAAGTGCAGTGTAAATGCAATGATAATAAAAATAATAAACAAGCTGTCCTTACTCCCCACACCCAAATATTATTACATTTCTGAGCCATGGTGGATAGTGCAAGGGGCGGGATACATAGCACTCAAAAAGCACTAAAGCATTGGGGAACGCATTTCATTAATATTAGATAACCCCCATCCACTCGTCCTCTCCCCAAATAAATACATAAATAAATAAGCCGCTCATAAAGAAATGCAGGGCTCCAGCCGAGATAAACAATGACTCATGATTCTCTTCTCTTGTACCTCCGGGGCAAAATGTTTATTTTATTCCCACACTCTGCCATAAATTAAGCTAACCTGCACCCATAAAACATTCACTATCTCAAGCAAAGCTGCCCCCCAGGACCTCTGCATAAGCTGGTCTCGAGCTGGAAACAGAGGAGGGAGGGGCAATTGACTGCTTACTTACTACTGTCCAATGTTTCTTGTAAAGGCGTGAAACCCTCCGGCAAAGCGTCCTTAATGTCAGTCAGCTTAACATCCGTAACTACATCGACCCCCTTCAAGACAAGAGATTACATTTAAAAAGAGTATTCAAAATTTACTGTTCTGATCTGGAGTTTTTTATTGCTTATAAAAATGAATTTTTTATTCATGACCGTAGCACAGTGTTGACATGTATTCCTAGATGTTTTGTTTATTTCTTTACCACTATTACTGTTATTACTGCTACTGTTAAATGTACCGAGTACAACTTGGATATACTACTACTACATTAAAACATGGCATTGTTTCTATATCTTTATCAGTGAACTAGTTGTCTAGAGTCCAGGTATATGCACTATATAATTGTTGTTTGACAGATATTTCTTCACATAGCTCACCATTTGAAAGAAAGAAAAAAGGGAACAGGAATAAAAAATAATTTCTCATTTTTCTCAATGTGAGGATAATAGAGTAGACGATTTACTGAAAGCACAGGAAGTCTCTAAAAAGAAGGGCTGACAAAATAGCAGAAGTAATTACTCCCTAATAGCTTTTCTCTGCAAAAGAATGCATGTGTGAACTCGTAATCATTCTCAACCTTTTGGCGAGGAGCTGGCGGCTGATAGGAGACAGAGGAAGCCCTGATCAACAGAATGGGACTGGTTAAAAACAATCAGGCGCTGTGTAGTTGACATTTTCAAGCATGACTCTTCCCTGCCTCCCATTACATTTTCATTTTTGGCCATAATAAATTGCAATAATACACAGTGGTGGCAGCGAGTGGGACGAGCCAGGCGTGACTTGATGCGTCCGAGAGGTTGGATTCCACAGCGACTGTTGCCCGACAGTCATTACCATTAGAGGCATTTTTTATTCATAGTTTTTATACTGACTTAAGGAGGAATATGGATGAATGTTATTACTATGCATGGGACCTTTTTTTGCTCTTTTGGTAGTGAGATTTTTCCCATCACAATCTGACAAAAAGGGCTATCTTGCACCAACCTAGAGTATGATAAATCACAAACTACTTACTTCCCCTCACATAATTCAGGGGCTAATTTTATAGAATCTGTTTTTGTCATGGACAATTACAGAAGGTGCTCCATTGACTGGCAGACAAAATAGCCTTTGTTGATAGCTCTGTCATGTTTTATTTATGTCAAAATCTTTAAAACAATGTGGACATGCATTTAAAGTCATATACAGGGGGCTGTAGAAGGCTATTTGAATGCTATACTGAAGTAAGCACAAACCTGGTGCTACTTATGCATAGCTCTTAATACTGAATAGACTGAAAATACATCTTTCTTTACAGCTTTTTGAACATAACTTGCAGTGATTTTCATTTGATTTAGCAAATGGTTATAGTCTCTCCATTTGTTTAGGCTTAAAACGTCACAACAGTGACAACTGATTCTTGCTACTTATGGATTGAACTGAGATAAAAATAGATAGTTCTTTTAGCATGTTAATATATTTAAAATTTGATTCAAAGACTGTGAAGGTGATTTGATTCTTATCCATGCATTTCCAATGCAATGCGTTTAACTTTAATCTCTCACTTCAGAGTTTTTTTTTGTATTCACAATTATGCACACAGTAACTGGTTGGTACATCTCTTTAGGGATGCAGTTGATTGAATAACTTGAATAGTTAAAATCCAGCTCATTGATATTTCATGAATAAACATAAATAATATCCTCAAGAGGATCCACACTAGGAAAATATCTCACCGTGGTATATTATGCATCTGAAATATGCATGTGAATCTATTATATTTGAAAGTTAAAAACCGGGAACGCTGGCTATTTAAATGGGACTCTGACTGATCAAAGTGCACAGTCCACAAGGATACTGTGGCAGTGGAAAACTCAGCTAATAACCCGTGGCAAACAAAGAGCGCTACTGGATGGGTGTGCATAGGCAGAAGTTTACATTCACACTTACAGGATTTCTGGTGAAACAGAGGTAGCGGGTGACCTTGGATTTGAATAAGCCGTCCTTCCACAGGTCGGCGTCAGAGCCATCTGTTGTTTGTGCAACCTACGTGAAAAAAACAAGGAGAGGAAAAAAACAGGCAAGAGGTGGGATAAAGTTAATGTATGTATGCCATGAGCGTGTTGCTTTTGCCTCTTCCCGTGCATACTAGCCTTAATTAACGCTTGCCTACACTTGCGCTCCATCTCATTAGTGCTCTGCGTGGGTAAAGGAGTCTTAGCCTCCAAAAAGGTGGCTAAAAATATCATCCCCAGGGACTAGGCTGATTAAAGATGCCCTGACAAGGCGCTGCTCTAATAAGGAAACCAAACTTGAGTGTGTGTTGTGAGAAAGCAGGAATTATATTCAGTGGAAATGTGTTTGCTCTTATACTATAGAATACTGTAAGCAAGAAAATATAATATTATTGAGAGAGTTTTTTGGTTTAAAATGTATTTCAATGTCATAAGTGATCCTAAAGAATTAATCTGGAAAATATGTATGAAACGAAAGTATAAACTTATCTAAAAGCTTGAGGATATTGTTCTTGTATAAAATGACTCACTGGTCTTCATACAGTCATTGATTCCTTTATATTGATAGGATTTCACAATCCAAGCTCAAGGTCTTACACTCTATTGCTATGTAAATGTAGGACTATCTCTGGGAGACTCTTCCTTCAAGCGAGTCAATATGGCTGGCTGAAACGTCATGTCCCATTGGTTACCATGTGAGAATCACCTAAATAACTGCCAGACTTATTTTCTAAAAGGATCCTTTACAAAGAAGAGTCAATCTAATGAGGTTCATTCAAATGAAGAAGTCATAGATCTCTGCACCCACCCACACACAGGCCCCTTGACAATAATGATGAATGACCCGGTGACTGGCTGGGGGAGCGCGGCATGGGGAGATTCATGCAAAAGCAGCGGTGAGTAGGGGACGAGTGCAGGGAGTGGGGAAAGGAGATAGATAGTGGGACAAGAGAGGAGGTATGAGCACAGAGGGATTACAGGGCGTCTCAACAGCACTTCCATGAAAGGTCCCAGAAGGAGCCTATACATCACCAGCCTCCTTCCTCCTTACAAGACAAGCCGTCTTGGCCACTTTTTCCAGGTCAGTAGCCAGCGCATCCTGTCAGCGTAAACAAAGGGCTCGCTTTGTGAAACCCAAAGTCAAGTTGAGTAGTAACGAGGGCAGCGTCCTCCTGCGAGGCACCTCAGGCATCATCCTGCCACAGCCAGCGGCAGCACAGGTGACACAGGCAGAAACGCCAGTACTGAGCACACTCCCACTGCCTAATTCTGCAGCTTTACCTTAAATGAATGGCTCATATATAACAGCAGACATCACGCCACTGCACTGTCATTGAAATATGTTTCAACAATATGATTTAAAACACAGTGACAGCTTTAACTGCCACTTCCTAAAATGATGCTTTAGTGTTGATCTGAAAGATGGTTGATGACATCAGTCCTCAAGAGATGTGGAAGTCTTGTGAAGCCTCTCTAGAGACACACAGCACAGGCTGAGCTGTAAATAAAAGGATATTAAAGCATAATGATCCGTCTCAGGGGAAGCCAGCTCGAACCTGTCACAGGTAGCTCAGTAAAGGGAAAAATCTGAATGCTCACTGAACTTTTGACAAGACGAGAGATTAGAGCTATGGGCATCTACAGACAAGGATTTATTTAATGCCATGGGGGACAAATAACATTTATTCAGTGACCACCCATCTTTTTTTAATCAGTTGTAGGAAACAACTTAAATTTTGCTTCCTTAATGTGGGACAGCAGCTCAAACAAAGTTCATCATTTAATGCATGCATCATTTAAGTTACAAATCAGCCCCAGATGAATAAAACTACAACTTAAATGCTCAGAAATATCTGCAGTGTAAAATAAGGTTCTGAAAGTGACCTGTCACATACATAGGTGAGCCTGTAGACCTGTGCATCATCTCTTTCTGCCCTGCAGTGCGTGTGGGTGTGAGCGTGGTGTTTTGATGTTGGGTAGTTGCTGTGAGTGTAGGGCTCCTGATCCCCATGGAGGTGCGTTTGATCCAGGCCCATGCTCTCATGTGCTGGAACAACCTGCTCAAGTTCAGATGTGAATGCTCCTTATCACACAGCAAAAGAGTTAATCAGCCCTTTGATCTGCCATGGAAAAGGTATGGCAAGTAAGCAGTGAGTATTAAAGGGGGAGCCTGAACAGGGGCTTGAAAGACCTAAATCTGAGCAGCAAAATATCCCAGGACTTACCTCCTCGGAGCAGCGTCAGAACACTGAAGCCAAATGCTCATATTTTGTTTGAATGTGAAATCTTCACATGAAAGGCAACATAGTGATTCCTGAAATGCATTTGGAAAGAGTCTGAACAGCCTCCACTGTATCTCTGAGACAGCTGTGCACTTTTTATTCTGTACTACTATCTTTACTTTGATCCTTTTTCCAGATATTTCCAAAAACAATCTATAATATGTATTTAGGCCTAATGTCAAAAGTGAACTTTTAGAGAAGCTTTTTGTTTGTACAAAAGTTTTGAAGCAGTAACTGAAATGAAGAAAAACATTTGTTTACTTAATTACACATCTAAAACACACATCAATGTTCTATCAGTAAGAAACTGGAAAGAAGAGGGAGTTGAAGACCCAGGTGCAAAGGTAGCAGACTATATGCACATCCACTACAATGTGATGTAGCAGTGGAGCACAGAAGGAAGCCTGGTGGCGTTTTCTCTCTGTTTGTCACTGCCGTGTGGTGTGTACACCATTCTCCTGCCAGTGGCTGTTTGGATGCCAACCCAGTGTCCTGTGCCAGAGATTAGAACAAGCTGGGCACTTTGGGCGGAGCAGGAAGAGATAACAGTTTCAGCGTATGGGGCAAAACAGAGGAAGGCTGGTGTTTGGAGATGAAGAGGGGGAATGAGCTACCTTTAAGCTGCTTTTAGACTTAAGACTTCTGGTCAATATAGTTAGTGCAATGGTAAACACAACACAACAAGACATTATTGTTAACAATCCAGAAAATAACAAATTTAGGATATATATATATATTTTAGGAATTCATAACATATAGGCTATGCTGTATCATGTTATCATAATCACCATTACAGTTAAAACACTGAAATGTTGCAGTGTTCTTTTGAAAGTACCACTATGCCAAAATGTGCATAACTGCGGTGTTGTACTTAGATATGATTTCAGAATCCATGGTGCACAGCATTATAATTCCATACTCACAACTAGGAATCCATCAGGAGCTTTGCTGGGAGATGCAACGATCCCTACTGCTGAGATGGGCTCTGCAGGAAGCTGGCTGCTCACTTCAGTCATACTGATGCTCTTTCTCTTCCAGCTGAAAAAACACAATATTCAATTCCATATAAATCCTAGTGCAATAAAAATGAGTATACTACGATTGCATGGGTCATCAAAAGATAAAGGGAAGACTGAGATAGAAACAACAACAATATTGACATCTCAGAGGTTTATTAGGATCTAGAAGAAAGAGAATCTTTCTAATCTGAGATCTAATGACAAGTGAGACCAGCCACTAAAGAGCATTAGGAGACCGCACAATGACTTTACCAAATCACAAATTAGCCAGAGTGCAACATATTTTCAAGGAAGTTCCAATCAATTCCTATCCATTTCTGTCCAAGGGAATTTTTTTTGCATAATGACCAGCCAGGCCTTTTACAGGGTAAGTGGCTTTGCCGAGGATCCCAATGCACTGTTATTAGATTAGGCTTAAAGCATTCTTGGACGAACTGACAAAGTTGCAGCATTTAATCTTGATGTTTACGAAATCTATCGCAATTAAGTTGATCAAATTAAAGGATTTACTCCACAAACAGCTGTCCCTTTAACAAATGTTGCAAACTCTACTTATTCTAATGAATCAGGATAGCAAATGAGCCAAGAGGGATCTTTCTTGTGATTTGTTTTACATGAGTTCAATTAAGTGTAATAAATTTACATTTACAAACATCTTCTACTTACCAAAATCTTAATTTTGTCAAACATAACTTTTATATATCCATTAGCTATACACAAATAGCATTACAATCAAAGCTTACAATAACTTTGATACAAATTCCTTTGCAATGTAACAGCTGGAACAGTATTGTTACTGACATTAATACCTGCATTAGTAAAAACCATGGTGTGTTTTACCTGGAGGATCGTTCTCCTCTGGCTTGTTTTTCACCTTTGGACTTTGGATGCCCTGCTACATGCAACTATTTCCGAGTTTTCGATCAATCATTTACTACCGAACAGCGACGGTGCAGAAGCTGTTCTTGATTTTTTACTTCAACCGAGGTAAGTATATTTGCTGTATTTTCCGTAGAGGATATACGGTTTTGTTGATAATAGTCCCAGCATGGCACACATAAATCGTTTTTTATTTTGATGCGTAATCGAGTAAATTTGGAGATCATATGTGAAGTACTCCAGTCTTCCGTTTAGTTATTATAAAGGTAATGCTGTTGCCCTGTGTTGGGCCAGTTGGTCTCTTTAGAGATTGACTTAAGATCTGTATTTGCTAGTTTAATCGTCGTGCAGATTATAGCGTCGAGTTAGTTCACAGAGAGGAACAAAAATCAGCGCGCCAAATGTGTGCGTTGTGCGCATGGATGGATTCTTCGCGCCTTTGCCCCGGATACCTGAGATGTCCGGTCATACATCTTTTTTTTTTTTTTTTTTTTTTTTTTTTTTTTTTAGGCATGACTTTTTGTGTTGCATTTGAAAAATCAAATGTAGTGTTTAACTGATAGTGTATGCTAACCAATGTAAGTCTATTTGCATCATAATAACCACCACTAAAATACTATTAATTTTGAGATTTCAAAGTAGGCTAATTTATTGCACCAATAAAATGATAAATATAAGCTCAGCAACTGTCAGTCCAAAACATTTCAAAAACACTTTTTATGATCCAATAATTTGCCCTCAAAACAGATGCACATAGCATATTGGCAAACAGTTCAATGTTTATATCATCAATTATTTTGTAAGATAAGATTTCTTATTAATTTATTTTAGACAGAGATGTCAAAGGAGAAAATTATGAATCTTCAGTCATGCAAATTGACTTTCCATCTTCTCACATCAAACTTTTTTGCTTCTATTGTTCAAGTTCAAGCTTCTGTTTTTCCACTCCACAAACTATTTCTCACATCTACACTAGTGCCAACACATGCTTGCACATTAGGATGTTGACAGCCGTGGCACAGGCATGCTCATTTCATGTGTATTTGTAGCAATGTTGAAGTTGATAAAACTCAAAATCAAGTGTTAAAAAAACACTTTCCACACACCACGCTGAGGCTAGGAAGAGGTGCACCTGCTAAAGTAATGGTCTAATTATGGAATAGGCGATGAAACACTCATTGAGAGTCTGGAGATATCAGCAACACATGCTAACTGTGAAAGCCATCAGCGATTACAGGGTTTTAATGTGCACCACACAACACGCAGCAGAGGATTGTGGGGCTGCATGAGTGATGGCTGTGGGGGAGCAGCCAAGACGAGACTTGCTCCATAGCACTACATCTGGCATTTTAGAAAGGTTTGTAAAAATGCCTTTTCTTTGTTCATTCTTTGTTTTCTTTAGACTTTCTGACTCAATTCTGTTAAAGGTACAAGTGAAGACACACCTTTCTGATGATATAAAAAAGTATTCTAGTTTTACTTCTGTCTTTGAAAACTAAGTAAGAATACTTTTCCTACATTTTAAAGCAAAACACCAAACATTGCTCACTAACCTAAAGTTTGCAGTTTTGCAACAACACAACAACTATTGTGTTTTTCATTGCCATACCACCTTGATTTTTTTCTGATCTCAGAAATCAACCTGATTAGTTCTGAGATGGGACACTGCAGAGCTGGGAGTACCAGGTGCCTTATATCAGTGGCTTCATCCCCCATGGCCGTGGTATACCTGCCCTGTTTGTGATTGGGGGTGGTCAGAGCCAGGGCGATGGCATGGATTGGCTGCCTCGATTTTGTCAGTCACCCCAACTGTGTGGTCCAGCTGTTTCTACAATAGTAGCTTAGCACAACCAGGTATGAAGAGAATGAATAATGCAATAAAGCACCTCTGCTTATACAAAAACTAATTATATCAAATATCCTTGGGGCAAGACACTTCACCTTATTTTTGTGTATGTTTTGTCAGTTTCCCTCAGGGCAGTAGTGGTGTGACAATGTGGAGTGAATCACTAAATATAATGAGAGGACACATAGCATTTGCATCTACTACTCTTCCTTTTTCTCAAAATGTTATGCTTAATCCACTCTTAGAACTACATTTAGTTAAATTCCACAAATATATGTTGTAAGTGTAACTTTTTTTCGACCCTGCTTTGGCTTTAACAATGTTTTAGTCATGAGCCCTAATGATCGAAGAGCCCCTGGACTAAAATTATACCTCAGTGAATGACTTTGCACCCAAATGATACAAAACAGCAAAGGTTCCCGTTTCTCATGTAAAGGTCATTCAATGTGTTGTGTGTAATTTGCTGACACTAGTCTAGGGACCGAAGATGGAGATTTCTCTGTAGCCACCGTGAGAGTAATAATATCCCTATCTCAACTTGGGAAATCTACTGCGCCCCCATGTCCCCGTCACCCGCGTGAACCCATTATAGAGCGCGTACAAATGTGCAGGTCTCATTTCATATATGACCCTCAGCTGCTCCCTCCGCCTCCTCTGTCTGCACATAAAACCCTGTGTCTCTAGAATAGCTTATAATAACATGCTTTAAGGAGCCAACCCTTAGTGCCCCCAAAGGATATGTTCTTGCAAGGCTTTACAATATCAAGTTTTTTTTCTAATTAAAGGTCATTTTGTTTCATTGTCGCCATAGATGGAAACTCTCCCTAAACTTGTTACCTATTGCCAAATGCAATTTAATTTTCCATTTAGGCCATCTGTTTTCTTGGCTACATACTTGCACAAGTTAAAATAGAAGTGTTGATTTTTTTTTTTTTTTTTTTTTTTTTTTTTTTTTGTTCCTATTTTGAACATAAAGATTGTGACCCTCAGGTCTATAGCCAAATGTTACCAAATAACCTGAAGTCATATCCTACAGAGATGTCACCACTCACACATTCTATTCTCATTTCTCACGCACCTGCACATGCACAGCCATCACACACGTGCACGCCCGCTCGCTTCCGTCTGGTGGGGAGTCTGGCCTGCTCCGACTGACTGCGCCTCACTGCCCTTGTGCAGTGGTGTGCCAGTTGTGCCTTCCCCCATCGCTGTGAATGCCACCATCTGGTGTGCCACGTGGACATCATAATCTCCCCTTAATTACATTAGCAGTGCAATCAGTTACTGCATTACAAGGCCGGGCGAAGAGCTTTTAAATCTTGGAGGAAATCATAAATAATTGCACTAAGTACCCGGCGCCAGATGTGCGTGCCAACTTGGCTGGCATGAGATAAATAGTAACCTCAACTGTGGTGTTCAATATCCATTCTGCAAACATTTTGGGGGGCATTATGAGCCCCGTGCCCCTTGCTCTTGTCCCTGTTATTGTCCTTACCAGTTGGTGTGACTCACTGAGTGTGTTAAAGTGCACACTTGATGATTACCTGTTGCTGGGTTCACTGTTTCACATGGCCTGACTTTCTTCTTGCAGTATTGTTGTCACACGCTTATCTACATTCTATACAGTTATACAGCACCAAAAAATGTATTATTTTGTGCAAGTTGTCAGTTAAATGTTTTTTTTCCTCCGTTATTATTGTAGGTACTCTCTGGGCTTGTCATGATAATTACTATATCAGCTTATCGTTCAATATATGAAAGGAGGGACAATATATCTTGGGGCTCAGTATTAATCGTGTGTACAATTTCTTTGCAAAAGTGACAAGATTTGGGGTATTTCTGTTGTAATACAATACGATTTGAGCTATAGAGGTTTGAATAAATAACTTTTGTGGATAATTATTGGTTCATTCTGCTAATTTTTGGTTGCAGCTCAGGCATTTTTAATGATACTGTCTGTTTAAAAATGGCATTTTGGGAATATCCTGCATTAATGTTATTGTGTCAGTGACATAAAGTAGTTTCAATATTCATTTCACTGTACAATATTCAGACTCATTAGAGTACAAATACAAATTAAGCACTTAAGTGTTTCATTCTGCTATTTATTTACTGCAGATCAAGATTTTTTTTAACAATATTGTAGATTTAGAATATTTTTTTTTGTTTTTGTTTAAATCTGCTCTAGGATTATTGTGACAGTAGCACAAATTAGTTTCAGTATAATTTACCTTATCTATAGTTACTTCAGCAATATATCGAACGTCAAAATTTATTATGATGACAGGCCTATGTACTGAAGCACAAAGCGGGATACCTGTTGCTCCGGCCTGACGTGACTGATGGCACTCAGGAAATAGTTAGTGACAAGGTCTCTCAGCACCACCAGTATTACAGGCTTCACTCATCTGTGTGTGTAATTAGATATTGTTCAGGTCTGGAGCAGTGCGTTCTTAATAGTTGTATGAAGGGACCACATTACTCTTTCTCCTAAGAGCCACTGCTGCTGTGTTGCCATGGCGGTATGGAAGTTGTCACTCATCCTCACGTCATGTTTCCATTCCCAGAGCGACTTCACTGTACTGACATGTGTCTCCCTGATCTCACCCAGCTCGGGCATGTTAGCTGCTGTGGCTGCTATCCATACAGTCAGTCATACAACGCTGGTAGGGCCTTATAAGTCTCAAACAGCTCATCATGTTGTTTTTATTGGTAGTAAACATTAACAGAGGCTATTCACAACATTATGACAGAATCAGAGTAACCATGCCAACCATCAGTGGCTGTTAGCACTAGTAATTACACCTGCGGTTTTCATCTGAGAGTGAAGCATGACAGTTTTGTGATCATTTTATAGATAGCATCAAATATTTTTCCCTCAAATACAGAAACATTAAAGCAACAAAAAGTGTTGTAAGGATATAACTTGTACATGTGAATAAAATTAAACACAAACAATAAAGTTCTATACCTACAGTGGAGCACCTAATTGAAATTTGGTATATTGTGATATTTTTTGTCATAATATTATCTCTTTGCATTGGTTCTTGTGAATGCAAACATCTAACCAATCACTCATGTATTGTATTGTTCTTAGGAAAGCAGCTGAAGGGGATGCCAGGAGAGAACCACCAAGGCCACACTGGCATCCAAAAATCCAAAGGCAGGTATAACATGGGTGTATTAGGTATGTTTGTCTTTTTTTTTTTTTTTTTTCTCAAATGCAATACAATTAAAATACTACTACTACTACTACTTCATGTGATAATGTGAATACATAGTTTTTTTTGGATTTCATATGTCCATGAATGCATCGCTTTCAAGAAGTAAAAGTCCCCCTGCATGGTAAGGAGTTTTTGTTTAGACCGTAAGTAAGATATAAATGCCCGAAACAGCACACTGACAATCCATCTTTTAGTGCAGGCTATTGATATTGATATTAACATGTACAATGCCCATTTCAATTTATCTGCAATCTGGCCTTCAAAGTGCCATTTAAATGAACAGTTGTCTATTCGACTAAACTACGCAAGGATGAAACCCCAGCAGAG